CCATGGAGAGTAAGAGCACTTCCTCCCAGCTGCCCACTGCACTGAGGCTAGGAAACACTATCACCACCGATAAATCTACAATAATCGAGAATTTCAACAAGCATTTTGCTACGGCTGGCCATGCTTTCCACCTGGCTACCACTACCCCGGCCACCAACTCTGCACCCTCCGCTGCAACTTGCCCATGCCCTCCCCTGCTTCTCCTTCACACAAATTCAGACAGCTGATGTTCTGAAAGAGCTGCAAAATCTGGACCCCTACAAATCAGCTGGGTTAGACAATCTGGACCCTTTCTTTCTAAAACTAGCCGCCGAAATTGTCGCAACCCCTATTACTAGCCTGTTCAACCTCTCTTTCGTAACGTCTGAGATCCCCAGAGATTGGAAAGCTGCCGCGGTCATCCCCCTCTTCAAAGGGGGTGACACTCTAGATCCAAACTGTTACAGACCTATATCCATCCTGCCCTGCCTTTCGAAAGTATTTGAAAGCCAAGTTAACAAACAGATCACCGACCATTTCAAATCCCACCGTACCTTCTCCGCTATGCAATCCGGTTTCCGAGCTGGTCATGGGTGCACTTCAGCCACGCTCAAGGTCCTAAACGATATTATAACCGCGATCGATAATAGACAGTACTGTGCAGCCGTCTTCATCGACCTGGCCAAGGCTTTCGACTCTGTCAACCACCGCATTCTTATTGGCAGACTAAATAGCCTTGGTTTCTCAAATGACTGCCTTGCCTGGTTCACCAACTACTTCTCAGATAGAGTTCAATGTGTCAAATCGGAGGGACTGATGTCTGGACCTATGGCAGTCTCTATGGGGGGTGCCACAGGGTTCAATTCTTGGGCCGACTCTTTTCTCCGTGAATATCAATGATGTCGCTCTTGCTGCTGGTGACTCTCAGATCCACCTCTACGCAGACGACACCATTTTGTATACATCTGGCCCTTCATTGGACACTGTGTTAACAAACCTCCAAACGAGCTTCAATGCCATACAACACTCCTTCAGTAGCCTCCAACTGCTCTTAAACACTAGTAAAACTAAATGCATGCTCTTCAATCGAACGCTGCTGGCACCCGCCCACCCGACTAGAATCACTACTCTCGACGGGTTTGACTTAGAGTATGTGGACAACTACAAATACCTAGGTGTCTGGTTAGACTGTAAACTCTCCTTCCAGACTCACATTAAGAATCTCCAATCCAAAGTTAAATCTAGAATCGGCTTCCTATTTCGCAACAAAGCCTCCTTCACTCATGCTGCCAAACATGCCCTCGTAAAACTGACTATCCTACCGATCCTTGACTTCGGCGATGTCATTTACAAAATAGCCTCCAACACTCTACTCAGCAAATTGGATGTAGTCTATCACAGTGCCATTCGTTTTGTCTCCAAAGCCCCATACACTACCCACCACTGTGACCTGTACGCTCTTGTTGGATGGTCCTCACTACATGTTCGTCGTCAAACCCACTGGCTCCAGGCCATCTATAAATCACTGCTAGGCAAATCCCCGCCTTATCTTAGCTCATTGGTCACCATAGCAGCACCCACCCGTAGTCTGCGCTCCAGCAGGTATATCTCACTGGTCATCCCCAAAGCCAACACCTCCTTTGGCTGCCATTCCTTCCAGTTCTCTGCTGCCAATGACTGGAACGAATTGCAAAAATCTCTGAAGCTGGAGACTCTTATCTCCCTCACTAACTTTAAGCATCAGTTGTCAGAGCACCTTACCGATCACTGCACCTGTACACAGCCCATCTGAAATTAGCCCACCCAACTACCTCATCCCTATATTGTTATTTATTTTTGCTCTTTTGCACCCCAGTATCTCTATTTGCACAATCTCTTGCACATCTAGCATTCCAGTGTTAATTCTAATTGTAATTATTTTGCACTATAGCCTATTTATTACCTTACCTCCATAACTTGCTACATTTGCACACACTGTATATATATTTTCTGTTGTATTTTTTTGACTTTATGTTTTTTTACCCCATATGTAACTCTGTGTTGTTGTTTTTATCGCACTGCTTTGCTTTATCTTGGCCAGGTCGCAGTTGTAAATGAGAACTTGTTCTCAACTGGCTTACCTGGTTAAATAAAGGTGAAATAAAAAATAAATAAATAAATGCCAAGGTACCAGAAGTCAATAGACTCAACATTACAATTCAGCATGATACATGTGGCACAAAAATATATTTAATTAACATATATTTAAAAATATACTTACATACTATGATGTGCTCAAATTATATATTTCATAAATATATTCTGGACATACAGTGGGGAAAAAAAGTATTTAGTCAACCACCAATTATGCATGTTCTCCCACTTAAAAAGATGAGAGAGGCCTGTAATTTTCATCATAGGTACACGTCAACTATGACAGACAAAATCAGAGAAAAAAATCCAGAAAATCACATTGTAGGATTTTTAATGAATTTATATGCAAATTATGGTGGAAAATAAGTATTTGGTCAATAACAAAAGTTTCTCAATACTTTGTTATATACCCTTTGTTGGCAATGACACAGGTCAAACGTTTTCTGTAAGTCTTCACAAGGTTTTCACACACTGTTGCTGGTATTTTGGCCCATTCCTCCATGCAGATCTCCTCTAGAGCAGTGATGTTTTGGAGCTGTCGCTGGGCAACACGGACTTTCAACTCCCTCCAAAGATTTTCTATGGGGTTGAGATCTGGAGACTGGCTAGGCCACTCCAGGACCTTGAAATGCTTCTTACGAAGCCACTCCTTCGTTGCCCGGGCGGTGTGTTTGCGATCATTGTCATGCTGAAAGACCCAGCCACGTTACATCTTCAATGCCCTTGCTGATGGAAGGAGGTTTTCACTCAAAATCTCACGATACATGGCCCCATTCATTCTTTCCTTTACACGGATCAGTCGTCCTGGTCCCTTTGCAGAAAAACAGCCCCAAAGCATGATGTTTCCACCCCCATGCTTCAGAGTAGGTATGGTGTTCTTTGGATGCAACTCAGCATTCTTTGTCCTCCAAACACGACGGGTTGAGTTTTTACCAAAAAGTTCTATTTTGGTTTCATCTGACCATATGACATTCTCCCAATCCTCTTCTGGATCATCCAAATGCACTCTAGCAAACTTCAGACGGGCCTGTGTCGTATATGATGAATGGTGGTAATATTGCTGATGAACAAAAAGTCCGTTATGCTGCATCGTGTCAGAAGTTTTTATTCATACCACGAGGTTACAGCATAAATTCACAGACACGCGTTGCCTGGAGAACGCCTCCCAGATTGTTATGGCCGTTCTGTCGTCTCATCGTTTAACTCCTATTTATAAACAATGCAAAGGGAGGGGCTACTCCCTCTTCTGGCCAATCACCAGTCTCCCCTCGGGCGTCACCCTCCAAGCGGCACATTTCAAATAACATCATAAAACATCCCCCCTTTGGCCTGAACAACCAACATTCCATTTCGTCATGAAAAACATTTAACAAAGGCATAATCTTCAGATACGATACCTGGTCATGTACTGGCTTAAGCAGGGGATCACGTCTGGCACTGCAGGATTTGAGTCCCTGGCGGCGTAGTGTGTTACTGATGGTAGGCTTTGTTACTTTGGTCCCAGCTCTCTGCAGGTCATTCACTAGGTCCCCCCGTGTGGTTCTGGGATTTTTGCTCACCGTTCTTGTTATCATTTTGACCCCACAGGGTGAGATTATCAGTGGTCTTGTATGTCTTCCATTTCCTAATAATTGCTCCCACAGTTGATTTCTTCAAACCAAGCTGCTTACCTATTGCAGATTCAGTCTTCCCAGCCTGGTACAGGTCTACAATTTTGTTTCTGGTGTCCTTTGACAGCTCTTTGGTCTTGGCCATAGTGGAGTTTGGAGTGTGACTGTTTGAGGTTGTGGACAGGTGTCTTTTATACTGATAACAAGTTCAAACAGGTGCCATTAATACAGGTAACGATTGGAGGACAGAGGAGCCTCTTAAAGAAGAAGTTACAGGTCTGTGAGAGCCAGAAATCTTGCTTGTTTGTAGGTGACCAAAACTTATTTTCCACCATAATTTGCAAATAAATTCATTAAAAATCCTACAATGTGATTTTCTGGATTTTTTAAATCTCAATTTGTCTGTCATAGTTGACGTGTACCTATGATGAAAATTAAAGGCCTCTCTCATCTTTTTAAGTGGGAGAACTTGCACAATTGGTGGCTGACTAAATACTTTTTTCCCCCACTGTATGTATACTGTATGTAAATACATTTTGAATTCCCCCACATACACTACCAGTCAAAAGTTTGGACACACCTACTCATTCAAGGGTTTTTCTTTATTTTTACATTTTTTTTTACATTGTAGAATAATAGTGAAGACATCAAAACTATTAAATAACACTTGGAATCATGTAGTAACCAAAAAAGTGTTAAACAAATCAAAATATATTTGAGATTTGAGATTCTTCAAATAGCCACCCTTTGCCTTGATGACAGCTTTGCACACTCTTGGCATTATTATTTGACCCTGCTGGTCATCTATGAATGTTTGAACATCTTGTAAAATCTGGCCTTAATGGCCATGTACTGTTATAATCTCCACCCGGCACAGCCAGAAGGGGACTGGCCACCCCTCAGAGCCTGGTTCCTCTCTAGGTTTCTTCCTAGGTTTCTGCCTTTCTAGGGAGTTTTTCCTAGCCACCATGCTGCTACATCTGCATTGCTTGCTGTTTGGGGTTTTAGGCTGGGTTTCTGTATAGCACTTTGTGACATCTGCTGATGTAAAAAGGGCTTTATAAATAAAATGTGATTGATTGATTGATTGATTTAACAAGTGACATCAATAAGGGATCATAGCTTTCACCTGGATTCACCTGGTCAGTCTCAGCTGGATTCCCCTAGGTCAGTCTATGTCATGGAAAGAGAAGGTGTTCTTAATGTTTTGTATACTCAGTGTATGTCTATGGGTGGGACAATCCCATAAAACACCTAAAGGTAAACAAAATAACTGACTCTCATGTCAAGTTTGCTGGAGGGCGTAGCTGGAGCTGTAGGGTCCAGGTGTCCAAATAGAGAACTCAGCTGCTCCCTCAGATTCTTTGTACGCTTCTTGTCCGGCTGCAGCAGCAATGCCTGAAAGCTCACCAGCAGCCCATACCTGACCAGGTACAGACCAACTAGTTACTGTATTGTTATTTAAGATGTAATTGGTTATCATATGACATCGAACTTAAAAATATAGAATTTGACAAGAAACGTATTTGACTGACCTGAGAACAGATTCCACAAACAATCCCAGGACTTTCAGGTGGATCCAGGCCACAAACACTTCACTGAAGTTCACCTTGAGTCAACGCACAAACGTTCCCTTCGGATAAGACATACGTATACACACAAACGCATACCCCACATACAGTGCATTCGGAAAGTATTCAAACGCCTTCCCTTTTTCCACATTTTGTTACGTTACAGCCTTATTCTAAAATTGATTAAATAAATAAATGTCCTCATCAATCTACACACAATACCCCATAATGACAAAGCGAAAACAGGTTTTTATAAATTTTTGCTAATTTAAAAAAAATTAAACTGAAATACCTTATTTACATACGTTTTCAGACCCTTTGCTATGAGACTCGAAATTGAGCTCAGGTGCATCCTGTTTCCATTGATCATCCTTGAGATGTTTCTACAACTTGATTGGAGTCCACCTGTGGTAACTTCAATTGATTGGACATAATTTGGAAAGGCACACACCTGTCTATATAAGGTCCCACAGTTGACAGTGCATGTCAGAGCTAAAACCAAGCCATGAGGTCGAAGGAATTGTCCGTAGAGCTCCGAGACAGGATTGTGTTGAGGCACAGATCTTGGGAAGGGTACTAAAACATTTCTGCAGCATTGAAGGTCCCCAAGAACACAGTGGCCTCCATCATTCTTAAATGGAAGAAGTTTGGAACCACCAAGACTCTACCTAGAGCTGGCCGCCCGGCCAAACTGAGCAATCGGGGGAGAAGGGCCTTGGTCAGGGAGGTGACCAAGAACCCGATGGTCACTCTGACAGAGCTCCAGAGTTCCTCTGTGGAGATGGGAGAACCTTCCAGAAGGACAATCATCTCTGCAGCACTCCACCAATCAGGCCTTTATGATAGAGTGGCCAGACGGAAGCCACTCCTCAGTAAAAGGTACATGACAGCCCGCTTGGAGTTTGCCAAAAGGCACCTAAAGGACTCTCAGACTGTGAGAAACAAGATTCTCTGGTATGATGAAACTAAGATTGAACTCTTTGGCCTGAATGCCAATTGTCATGTCTGGTGGAAACCTGGCACCATCCCTACGGTGAAGCAAGGTGGTGGCAGCATCATGCTGTGGGGATGTTTTTCAGCGGCAGGGACTGGGAGACTAGTCAGGATGGAGTGAAAGATTAACAGAGCAAAGTACAGAGAGATCCTTGATGAAAACCTGCTCCAGAGCGCTCAGGACCTCAGACTGGGGTGAAGGTTCACCTTCCAACAGGACAACGACCCTAAGCACACAGCCAAGACAACACAGGAGTGGCTTTGGGGCAAGTCTCTGAAGGTCCTTGAGTGGCCCAGCCAGAACCCGAACTTGAACCTGATCTAACATCTCTGGAGAGACCTGAAAATAGCTGTGCAGCGACGCTCCCCATCCAACCTGACAGAGCTTGAGAGGATCTGCAGAGAAGAATGGGAGAAACTCCCCAAATACAGGTGTGTCAAGCTTGTAGCGTCATACCCAAGAAGACTCGAGGCTGTACACCTTTGTTCCTATAGTAATTTCAGAGAACACTTTACTCACTTTACTCACTTTTCTTTCAAAGCCCTTCAAATTGGATTTTATGTTGTTGTATGCCGCACCTCAAGATTTCAGTTCTGTCTCTACCTGGGAGACTTGCTGATGCACATACGAGTCCACACACACGCGCGCACACACACACACACACACACACACACACACACACACACACACACACACACACACACACACACACACACACATCCAAATATACGCACACACACACACACACAAATTTGATTGTAAGAATTACATAATACATCATGTATCTTCAGTCGTGTATATATAAGACAAGAATAGGCTGAGTAGAGGGATACCTTGGCTATGATGCCCGCCAGGCTCTTACGAGGCAATGTTGTGGAGTATTTGGCTCTATCCCACTGGAACTTTGTCACATAACTGACCAGGTCCACTGTTGAGATGCACAGACAACATGTCACAGGAGGACCCATTTCCCAGTGACACAAAACAAAAGGGTTCCACACAAATCCAACTCAGCAACCAGAGACATGCAGAAAATATCCAAAGCACACCAATCAAACCAACCACTACCACAATTCTGCATCACTATTACAATCGTGCAATCCTTTAAACACAGACGATAACAGCAAGCCAAAATGCCCAGCAAGGCTTTGAAATAGACTTTTGAAGGTGACTGGGAGACTTTGTGATGAGTCTTGTGGTCTGATGAGGGGAGATGTGGGGAGATGAGGGGAGAACAGTGAGCTACCCTAATAGTCTCTGAGGTGGAGAAGTGAAAAGCTCTTAACTGTCTTAGGTCAGACAAAAACCTTTAGGTAATGGTCATGGTAATAGTAGTACCAACATAAAACCAAAAAGGCACTAAACATAACCACTAATTGTAATCTATAGAGGTATTCTGTTCAATATATGTCCCCAGAGACAATGTTATTGACAATAGCCTAGTGAGGTAGAAGCACAGTTTGCTACTGTAATTTGTATTTGTATTTGTATTTATTAGGAATCCCCATTAGCTGCTGCCAAGGCAGCAGCTACTCTTCCTGGGGTCCAAACACATTAAGGCACTTGCATCACACATAAAACTAAAGATAAAACAGGCACTTGTAATAAACATTGGTGTGTGCACCTTATTGCAAACACAAAATAAATGTAAGTGGATGTTAAGTGAACTAGCAGGTTGGAGCAGGGTGGTGTGTGGGTACATGTGTGCCCGAGCGTCTGTGTATGTGTGGTGTGTATGCACATGTACGGGCACACCACAGGTGGTTGGTGGCACCTTAATTGGGGAGGACGGGCTCGTTGAAACGGCTGGAGCGAATCAGTGGAATGGTATCAAATACATCAAACACATGATTTCCAGGTGTTAGATGCCATTCCATTCGCTCCGTTACGGCCATTATTATGAGCTGTCTTCCCCTCAGCAGCCTGCACTGGTGCATTGCCCTTCTGTGTGTATATGGAGGCTGTCCGATGCCTATATATACTCTTAACTAATTTCTGTTTGATCAGCATCTTGCTCCAGGTGCTTACTATACTGTACTGTTTGACTCATGTCCCACCAGACCCCCAGGCCAAGGGTATTGAAACTGTCACTGGGACTCACCGCTGCTAGCCAGGGCGTTCTCCGCCACTTTCTCACTGGACTGCTCCATCACCTCCGCCATGCACTGAGCTGTCCTCTGCATTACTCTGGAAAACAAGGAGGTGACAAGCCACTTATCATGACAGGGAATTAACATCACCAGAGCCATATGACTTGACAAATTGTTGTCTTTGTATATCACAAGGAAGATAAAGACCTCTACAAACAAAAAATTATACAAGTACCAATGTCCCAAGAGAACTTTACAGGTAGGGGATGTGCTTAGCACTTGTAAATAGAGGATACAGGATTCAGTGTCTCCTCCTCTGCTGATAGCAACGGTCAACAGTTTCCTAAAAGTAAACTCAGACTTCCGGGGCTCATGAGAGCAAAACCCTTCCCAATATCCTACTAATCAGTGCACTAAGCCATTAAGGCACTTCTAACTAACAACTTCAGCCTGCCCAGCTCATTTTCAAGCCAATGGAAAAGCAAAAAATAAATGTCAGCATCCTCCAAGCATAAATTAATCATGAGAGAAGCCTTACAGCTAGTAGAGTAAATGACTACTACTAGCCCATAACATAGTGAGGAAACACACAGGCACAAAACACACCAACATGACACTGAAAATGTCTTTTACCTCTCAGCTTGAGGTTCCAGTTTGGAGAGGCCATCTGACACACTCAGGAGGACGTCCATTGTTCCAACCTGGGAGATTAAAAGTGGAAATGTTACAGTCATAGCACATGAAATGTAAGCTTATAACAGGTGACCGGCAGGCTTCAATTACATTGTTGTCTCACTTAGCCTCAAAGCAGGGAAAAGAAAACATTTATAGGTTTCATTTAGCTTTTTTCCCCAATTGAAACGTTGGAGAGACCTTATCGATCAAGTTGACTGAAATTGGTCAAATGAAAAACCTTACGAAAGGCTGGCTCTAAATCACCACTTGAAGAGTGAAATGTGAGCCCATCCATAGAAGGCAACAGAACACCTTCGTCCTCTGTAAATATACAATACTCTGAGTCTGACCACTGCTGTACTAAACACCATCAGTCATCACAGATACAGTGGGGAGAACAAGTATTTGATACACTGCCGATCTTGCAGGTTTTCCTACTTACAAAGCATGTAGAGGTCTGTCATTTCTATCATAGGTACACTTCAACTGTGAGGGACGGAATCTAAAACAAAAATCCAGAAAATCACATTGTATGATTTTTAAGTAATTAAATTTGCATTTTATTGCATGACATAAGTATTTGATCACCTACCAACCAGTAAGAATTCCGGCTCTCACAGACCTGTTAGTTTTTCGTTAAGAAGCCCTCCTGTTCTCCACTCATTACCTGTATTAACTGCACCTGTTTGAACTCGTTACCTGTATAAAAGACACCTGTCCACACACTCAATCAAACAGACTCCAACCTCTCCACAATGGCCAAGACCAGAGAGCTGTGTAAGGACATCAGGGATACAATTCTAGACCTGCACAAGGCTGGGATGGGCTACAGGACAATAGGCAAGCAGCTTGGTGAGAAGGCAACAACTGTTGGCGCAATTATTAGAAAATGGAAGAAGTTCAAGATGACGGTTAATCACCCTCGGTCTGGGGCTCCATGCAAGATCTCACCTCGTGGGGCATCAATGATCATGAGGAAGGTGAGGGATCAGCCCAGAACTACACGGCAGGACCTGGTCAATGACCTGAAGAGAGCTGGGACCACAGTCTCAAAGAAAACCATTAGTAATCCTCCGTCATGGATTAAAATCCTGCAGCGCACGCAAGGTCCCCCTGCTCAAGCCAGCGCATGTCCAGGCCCGTCTGAATTTTGCCAATGACCATCTGGATGATCCAGAGGAGGAATGGGAGAAGGGCATGTGGTCTGATGAGACAAAAATAGAGCTTTTTGGTCTAAACTCCACTCGCCGTGTTTGGAGGAAGAAGAAGGATGAGTACAACCCCAAGAACACCATCCCAACCGTGAAGCATGGAGGTGGAAACATCATTCTTTGGGGATGCTTTTCTGCAAAGGGGACAGGACGACTGCACCGTATTGAGGGGAGGATGGATGGGCCCATGTATCGCGAGATCTTGGCCAACAACCTCCTTCCCTCAGTAAGAGCATTGAAGATGGGTCGTGGCTGGGTCTTCCAGCATGACAACGACCCAAAACACACAGCCAGGGCAACTAAGGAGTGGCTCCGTAAGAAGCATCTCAAGGTCCTGGAGTGGCCTAGCCAGTCTCCAGACCTGAACCCAATAGAAAATCTTTGGAGGGAGCTGAAAGTCCGTATTGCCCAGTGTATGAAGGAGTGGGCCAAAATTCCTGCTGCAGTGTGTGCAAACCTGGTCAAGGAAACGTATGATCTCTGTAAATGCAAACAAAGGTTTCTGTACCAAATATTAAGTTCTGCTTTTCTGATGTATCAAATACTTATGTCATGCAATAAAATGCAAATTAATTACTTAAAAATCATACAATGTGATTTTCTGGATTTTTGTTTTAGATTCCGTCTCTCACAGTTGAAGTGTACCTATGATAGAAATTACAGACCTCTACATGCTTTGTAAGTAGGAAAACCTGCAAAATCGGCAGTGTATCAAATACTTGTTCTCCCCACTGTACACTGTATTGTGTGACATATTGACAGTGAGGTGGAAATAGTTGTCCAACTGTGGTCTCATTAAACTTTAATTTCTAGTGGATCTCAGTCTTATCATTCATTACTATCGAGCTGCTGTGTTGTCACATGTGTGCTGCTACTGTACATAGAAATGTTGAAGTTATGTCATGCTTGGGAAGTCGATGAAGGCAAGACGCTCCAAGCCGAGTGACCTTGTTCTTCTATTTGAGCCTCTTGGAAGCTATGAGACACAAATCCTAACCTTCAATTCTGGGATGGAGAACTTGAAGCTGGAGGCCAGATTGGTTTTGGCTACAGAGTGCTTGAGTTTCTCCAGAGACTGTGAGCTGGACCTGTCCCGAGGAACAGATATCAACCAGAAGTCTGTCATAACTTTTGCACCCTGCTGCTGCCGCCTCTCTCTGCCTTACATGTGGGGTCCCCTTTCTTCCAATAACCTAGAAAAGAAAACAGTAATTTATAATGTGGACCAGATTTTCTTCCAATAACCTAGAAAATAAAACAGTAATTTATAATGTGGACCAGATTTCCTATTATATGCAGCTATATATAGTAGCACAGCGTAGCATACTGCAATTTATTCAATAATTTAAAACATTTACTGGACATGGTTTTGTCATGGATCATTTATAAAGTAATGAGGAACCATACACCTTAGTCTTACAGGCCAGCTCAAGTGGATTTACCGTGGAACAATCATTTAATTCTACCACTTGGCCAGTACTTTCATCTCTGATTTCCTCCCCATATTGTTATAATTGAGTCCATCAACATAATGAAGTGCACTCTAATGACTGACATGTCAATAGGTGGTCTACATCAGAAAATAAACACATCTGACAGCTACTGTAAAAAGACAAATCTGTTTTAGTCTACCGTTAGTTACATACCCTATTCCGAGCCACACTCACAGGTATTCAGACGTTAGTGGGGTGGGAAGAAGGAATTTCACCGCGTCCCGAGCTGAACTTCTGGGCGAAGTGTCGAGGAGGACAGGACAGCCATCCGCTAAGATGAGCATTGTTACATCACTGAGAAGGAACAAGTAAATGCGCAAACATTTACATACAGCCAGTCACATTGCTTATTCATAGGCATCCTCTCAAGTTTGCCATATCCATGCACTGACTTCTTCTTTGTAAATTAATGAGTGAATGAGTGATGTGCCTTTTAGCGAGTGTACAACACTAGTGTATATAAAAATTTTCATGGAGATAAGGGTCCAAGGAGATTAGGTCTATACCTCTTATTTTAAACATGATTTATTACATTTTTCACTTGGGAGAGGCCATATAGCCAACTCATATATAGGAAGGCAATTAACATAAATCTTATTTACACTTTTACCTATGCACATGATGTGTAAATTCTGGGCCAATACATATAACTGATATTTTCTTTGCAACATCGACCAATACCCAAATATATATTTTAACTTTTTTAGACTTTTTAACCATTTTAGCACAGATACAAACTGCAACCAAGTTTCCATGTTCATAATATGAGAAAGGTGTAATAAAAATGTTTGCATCATAAAGTGTGTGAAATGCATTAGAAATCTATTGGAAAGTTCGGGAAAACATCTAAGCTACCTGACGCCCATAATAATGTATTATTCAACGGAATCATGCCAATTTCACCTGGCCCCCTGATGATTTGAGGCCCCAGGCAATTGCCTTAGTTGCCTAATGGTAAATCTGCCACTACACAAAGGATTATCAACAACAAAGGATTTATTCAATTTCTGCCACCAGTGTAGTGATAGAGGTGGAACAGCTAGAGGAGCAAGCACTAAAGGGGAAAGGTCAGTTCCAGATGTAGGCCTATCGTCACAAAAGCCCAGGCCTTTTGTAGGTGGTAGGCCTAGTAGCTTCACACATATAATTAATTATAAGGTGAATGACAAATTATACTCAACATTTAAAACATTGACAGTTAACACATTTGATTATCAGGAGGATTTGATTATCACCATGCTTTAGCGTGCTCTATAAGCCCCTTTTGTGCTATTTTATAATATTAGAATTAGTACATCAATATTTTTTGTTGTTGATATAACATAAAAAACGAAATCTACAGACCTTCTACTCAGAAATAAACGGGAACGCCATCTATTATTTTGTGGCTTCCACACGGACCTAAATAGTAAAGACCAACACTTCCTGTTGTTTGTGGCAACGTGGGGCATGAATTTGTAATACTTAGAAATTACAATTATTGTACATTAGTGTTATGAGTGGAAAGTATTTTTGACAGCCTCGACAATGCAGATATCCAGTGTGAATGATGTGAAGATTTATAATTTAAGCTATGGAAAGTCTCTTCCAGAGGTAAGACAAGTTTGCCTTAATAGCTAGCTAACAAGCTAACTTACAATACAAATAATGTAGTTAGCTAGCTACTGCTAATATATGTTACTTTGATCATCGATTGATAACCTATTAAATTGCCCTAGTCAAGTCATTTTTTTATTAGCTATTGCTCTCAGTCTTGAAGCAAAGGCATGCCAAGCAACGAACGTTAGCCAGCCAGCTAGCTACATCCATGGCCATTAAGCATGGAGGTTTATATTGCTGTGAAATTGGGTATGAGCTCACAAAGTAAACTATGAACTATGTCAAATGAAATCAAATGTTATTGGTCACATACACGTGTTTAGCAGATGTTATTGCGGGTGTAGTGAAATGCTTGTGCTTCTAGCTCCGACAGTGCAGTAATATCAAACAATTTCACAACATATACCCAATACACAAATCACAAAAAGTAAGGAATGAATTAAGAATATATACATATATGGACGAGCGATGTCATAGCGGCATGGACTAAGATACAGTAGAATAGTATAGAATACAGTATATACATATGAGATGAGTAATGCAAGATATGGAAACATTATTAAAGTGACTAACATACCGTAGAATAGTATAGAATACAGTATATACATATGAGATGAGTAATGCAAGATATGTAAACATTATTAAAGTGGCTAGTGTTCCATTTCTTAAAGTGGCCAGTGATTTCTAGTCTATGTTTATAGGCAGCAGCCTCTAATGTGCTAGTGATGGCTGTTTAACAGTCTGATGGCCTTGAGATATAAGCTGTTTTTCAGTCTCTCGGTCCTAGCTTTGATGCACCTGTACTGACCTCGCCTTCTGGATGATAGCGGGGTGAACAGGCAGTGGCTCGGGTGGTTGATGTCCTTGATTATCTTTTTGGCCTTCCTGTGACATTGGGTGCTGTAGGTGTCCTGGAGGGTGGGTAGTTTGCCCCTGGTAATGTGTTGGGCAGACCGCACCACCCTCTGGAGAGCCTTGCGGTTGCGGGCGGTGCAGTTGCCGTACCAGGCGGTGATACAGCCCAACAGGATGCTCTCAATTGTGCATCTGTAAAATTTTATGAGGGTTGTGGATGCCTAGCCAAATTTCTTTAGCCTCCTGAGGTTGAAGAGGCTCTGTTGCGCCTTCTTCACCACACTGTCTGTGTGGGTTGTCCATTTCAGTTTGTCAGTGATGGGTACGCCAAGGAACTTGAAGTTTTCCACCTTCTCCACTGCAGGTCCCGTCGATGTGGATAGGGGGGTGCACCATCTGCTGTTTCCTGAAGTCCACGATCATGTCCTTTGTTTTGTAGCTTGTCATAATAACCAGAGTATGTGATAACACACGTCTCTATTTTTTTCCCAGTGGCTCTCAGATCGGAAGAAAAGGGCATTGCAAAATAAAGATGTTGGTGAGTATTCATTTTACTAATGTCAATGTCTTACAGGTGTTTGTGTGCTGGCCAAGTTGTCAGACTGTACATTTTCCTGTGTTTTTCTCAGACATCCAACGCAGGATCGAGCTCATCCAGGACTTTGAGATGCCCACAGTGTGCACCTCAATCAAAGTGTCAAGGGATGGGCAGTTTATTCTAGCAGCAGGTGAGGATTTGGCTTGCTGCCACTGTCAGATGAAATTTGCCATATCAGTAGAGTAGAACAGTCAATTATTGTAAGTAATTGCAGTGTATTCCACTAGCGCTGGCTTTCGGCTATGCAGCCGGTTACACACTCATTTTCAGCTGGGTACTTTTGCCGCTTAAATTAACTAGGTCAGAAAAAAAGTCAGCCGAGCCCTTTCCGGCTAGAATGAACGATATGCATCTTCTAGCGATCTATTGATAGGATAAGCGCCTGTCAGTCACAAAGTGAGAGATGAAGGGAAACACTGCTGGTTTGACAGTCTGCTGTCTGTCCCGCCTTCCGGTACCTGTGTGTGTTGTGTACGCTGTGGTTGCAGTCAAATTTCTTTACACGGCAGGAGAGAGCATGATCACAGATAGGACAATGAGAAATCTTTGGCATGATGCTCCTTCATCGTCTATATGAGCCAATTTGCACGTCCCATATAATGTGGTAATAAGGAGTCGAAATCCACTTAGCTTATTGTTTTCTGGCACATTTATTTATTTTCTTTTGCGTGTTTCATATACAGCCACGAAGTGCTTGTGCATCGGCTTACTGTGATTTGATTGACGAACAGCAAGCTTGACTAGTTTATAAATGGTGTTGAACTGACTGAATATAGTCAATCTCATATATCCTTGCCAATCATACAACATAGTTATATGTACATGGTATCACATCGGGACAAGTAAACTAAAGATATCGTTTGTATTTTCGATATGAAGTCCATCAGAACTTGCCAGACAGTGACGTTATGTGAGTGACTCATCAGTAGCCTACCGAATCGCGTCGGTTAGAGAGACGTTCACTTGGCTCCCGATTACCTGGAGATAAATTATGAAAACATTCCATGAAGATGGTGAATCCTCCTCACTGCAGGAACAATATGTAGGCTAGTGGAGCGATAGTCTCACTCTGTTCCAAAATATCATAAAAGAAAACAGATTTCATTGTTTTAAAAGCTAATGATACTTATATGGTATTTTCAAAGATATTTATATAAGTCTACTGATTTAATCAAAGTGTAGCAAAGCACATGATTAACACCTGCTTCCTTCTTCAATCATACCTGTATTGCAGATATCTGTGGGTCAGTTGTTAAACAAGTATTTTTTTAAACTAAATTACATAATGCAATTCACAAAGAGTTGCAAACACTTGCTGACATTTTTTCAATAATTTTGCTGATGTCGTTCTCCCTCTTCTCTTAACACGTATGGACCCAGAACATAATTGAGCATCTGTTCTGTTTATTTTAGAGACATTTTTTATATTGAGCCTTTAATAAAAAAATTCTAGGTCATTTGGGCTATTTACTTTGTTTTTCTGTTTTAATAAAATACATAATTTGAAGAACAAACAATTGTGGCAATTCATATCTTGCAGTAAAATACTTTAATCTCGAGAAGACAGGTTAAATGTAAAAAAATAATATTAAAAAATAAGTGGTTTAATGTTCTCTTACTTAAATAGTCCTGATCATATAGGCCTAGACGATATCCCAAAAAACGAACAATACACTGAATCCATACATTTTCAGTAATTTGAATTGTAAACACAATACCACGACACATTTTTCATATCTGGGAGGTAATATCAGTAAAGTATTCAATAATTTTCGGATGGAATCTGAATGTACCAGAGGCCACCAAAATGGAGCTGCAAATAATTCTTAACTCCAGCCCGGGGGATCTTGGCTGGATAATTGTTCTATTTAGCTGGCTATTCCATGTGCTTGTGGAAAACACTGTAATTGCTGTTATGTATGGTTTGTCACTTTCTTTTAACATCCTTTCAGGCACATACAAACCCAGGATCCGATGCTATGACACGTATCAGTTGTCCTTGAAATTTGAGCGGTGTCTGGATTCGGACGGTAAGTGATAGACCCAGTAGTTATATTGTTACATATTCATAGGGTGATCATTCTGCTTCTATGGTCCGCTGGAACTCTGATGTGCTATGGGAATCCCTGCAAGTATCCCTCCCACCTTTTGTTGTGAAGTGAATGGCTGGTCCATAGGAGGAGGATCCAGCTGTTTCAGTGAGGGTGTCAGCCAGTCCTGACTCCACTAATGAAAGCTCACAGGCCTGAACCAGTTACTCTGTCCTTAATATTTAACTACGGTGCATCCAGACACACATTTTCAAGCAAACACACACCTTGCCTGGGGACCAGTCACTGAATTTCTAAATACACTGTCTGGAATATGACAGTGTTTGATTCTGGAAAGGTACCTCTCAGGTCCTCTACAAGCCGTAATGTTGAATACAATTATATTTTTTAGATAAAATATCCACAGGAAAGTATTGTTTACCCAACTTTTTAGAGCACTGGTACTGAAGATGAAATTTCTATCGTCTAGCAAAACCTGCAAGACTTCGCTTGGTATGCATGGTTCACGTGTGTGTACTTCCGTCTTGTGCATGTGCCTTTGGTCATGAGCTAAACACATCTTGACTGCCACACACATAGACCTGCATTTTGAAGTCGATGTAATTTGTCAAACATTTCCCCATGTTTTGTGACTAGCACACACCCAACATACACAATTGCCATAATGTGATGGTCACCAATAAATAAACCCTTTGCATTGTACAACATTCTTTACCAGTAGATATAATTTTTTCTTGTAGCTAGTTCTGAAAGTGTGTTTTTCCCCTCACAGTTGTAGCCTTTGACATTCTGTCCGATGACTACTCAAAGGTAAGACAGACTTACCTACCTTGGTTGTTTCCTGCAGTGGGTGTTATCTAAACTTGATTGACCTGATATGGTTGTGTTTGTGTAGCTGGTGTTTCTGCACTGTAACCGGTACGTGGAGTTCCACTCGCAGCATGGACACTACTACAAGACACGCATTCCCAAGTTTGGTAGGGACTTTGCCTACCACTACCCCTCCTGCGACCTCTACTTTGTTGGGGCAAGGTAAGGGTTAAAAGCCAAAGGAGGTGGATCATTCACTGTCTTGATTTCATATGTATCATTAGACTTGGCTTTAACTTGACAAGTTGAAGTTGTGTTACTGTTGACTTCACACAGTAAGACTGAAACCTTTTTCCTCTTTCAGCTCAGAGATATTCAGACTCAATCTGGAACAAGGCAGGTTCCTCAACTCCCTTCAGACAGATGCTGTGTATGTATACATCAAAAATACTTTATTTATGAAGGCAGCTGTGGCCGATTCCACACCAGCATGGCCCAGAAATATTTTTGGTATCACTGATTGTTCTGGCAATTCCCACATAACTTCATTGGGAGGAAGGATGTTTAACATGTTATTTAGTTTTTGAAAATCATTATGAAAGTGGCAATTTTAGGCCCTTTTTAAACCTATAGATGCCTCCTATAATACCCTATGATCCATGAACCGTACATGATACATACAACATCTTGGTGTCATTATACTCCTTATTGTGTGGAGTATGTTTATGGAGTATTTCTATATTCTGAAATACACGTTTTCACAATAATTTATTCAACATAAAACAATATGAAAAAGTATGTTTTTGATTTGGCTTATTTTTAGACATATTGTTTGGAACAATATACTCTTCAAACACATCACATTTCCTGAGTGGGCTCTCTGCTACTTTTGAAGAAATTATCAATTTTATAGATTGGTTAATTACATTTTACATTTAAGTCATTTAACAGACACCTGTAAAGTCAATTTCTATCAATAACATTTATAATTTCTTCAAAAGCAGCAGAGAGCCCACTCTGGAAATGTGATGTACAGTACTTGAATGAGTGTATATTGTTTAAAACAATATGTCTTTAAAAATAAACAAAATCAAAAGGGGTACTTTTGAGATATTAAAGGTGCTACACATAGTATTTATTTAGAATTTTTGCATTGTAATTTCAGAAAATGTCCATAATATATCTGCAGTAATAGTGGAATGATAGTGTTTCACTGTATTACTTACACAGTGTTATGATTGGCTGTGATATTCGCCTATTGATTTCTCCTGCCAGGCCGGCTTCTGTTGTCAAAATGGGAAAGCTGTTTTGACTTTGTGGGTGTGTGTTTCACTAGATAAATGTAGAAATCGTTGTCATTTCCTGGTTGCTAAAGATCTACACAGTTCGCTCAATTTCAGTTTGTGAGAAAAAAAGAACTGAATAGTGTAGGGAATCATTGTACCATCTAAATCACTGTGAAATATATTTTCAATAACAAATTATATATTTTTTTACAGCTGTTTAAAACTGGTGGATGAAACCGAAAGTAAAAACTGAAGCGCGAGTCTCCACTGTGTTACAGTGAAATGGGTGCAGGGAAGGGGGATATTTGTTTTGAATGCAGCCAGTGTTCTTGCAATTCACCTAGACTTCTGTAACCGTAAAAGCCTTGGTTTCTTGCATGTTAACATCAGAAGCCTCCTCCCCAAGTTTGAGTTATTCACTGCGTTAGCACACTGCCAACCCTGATATTCTAGCAGTGTCTGAATCCTGGCTTAGGAAGGCCACCAAAAATTCTGAAATGTCCATCCCGAACTACAACATTTTCCGTCTAGATAGAACTGCCAAAGGGGGCGGAGTTGCAATCTACTGTAGAGATAGAGCTTTGCAGGCTATCATACTATCCAGGTCTGGGCCCAAACAGTTTGAGGTTCTACTTCAAAAAATCCACCTCTCCAGAAATAAGTCTCTCACTGTTGCCGCTTGGTACAGACCCCCCTCAGCCCCCAGTTGTGCCCTGGACACCATATGTGAATTGCTTGCCCCCCATCTATCCTCAGAGTTCGTACTGCTTAGTGACCTAAACTGGGATATGCTTAACACCCCGGCCGTCCTACAATCTAAACTAGATGCCCTCAATCTCACACAAATTATCAAGGAACCTACCAGGTACAAACCTAAATCCGTAAACATGGGCACCCTCATAGATATCATCCTGACTAATTTACCCTCTAAATACACCTTTGCTGTCTTCAACCAGGATCTCAGTGATCACTGCCTCATTGCCTGCGTCCGTAATGGGTCCGCGGTCAAACAACCACCCCTCATCACTGTCAAACGCTCACCCCTCATCACTGTCAAACGCTCCCTAAAACTTCAGCGAGCATGCCTTTCTAATTGACCTGCCCCGGCTTTCCTGAATGGATATTGACCTCATTCCGTCAGTAGAGGATGCCTGGATGTTCTTCAAAAGTGCTTTCCTCTCCATCTTAAATAAGCATGCCCCATTCAAAAAATTCAGAACTAAGAACAGATATAGCCCCTGGTTCACCCCAGACTTGACTGCCCTTGACCAGCACAAAAACATCCTGTGGCGTACTGCATTAGCATCGAACAGCCCCCGCGATATGCAACTTTTCAGGGAAGTCAGGAAACAATATACACAATCAGTTAGGAAAGCAAAGGCTAGCTTTTTCAAACAGAAATGTGCATCCTGTAGCACTAATTCCAAAAAGTTTTGGGACACTGTAAAGTCCATGGAGAATAAAAGCACCTCCTCCCAGCTACCCACTGCACTGAGGCTAGGAAACACTGTCACCACCGATAAATCTACGATAATCGAGAATTTCAATAAGCATTTTGCTACGGCTGGCCATGCTTTCCACCTGGCTACCCCTGCCCCGGCCACCAGCTCTGCACCCTCCACTGCAACTTGCCCATGCCCCCCCCCCCCCCCCCCCCCCGCTTCTCCTTCACCCAAATGCAGATAGCTGATGTCCTGAAAGAGCTGCAAAATCTGGACCCCTACAAATCAGCTGGGCTAGACAATCTGGACCCTTTCTTTCTAAAATTAGCCGGCGACATTGTCGCAACTCCTATTACTTGCCTGTTCAACCTCCTCTTTCGTATCGTCTAAGATCCCCAGAGATTGGAAAGCTGCCGCGGTCATCCCCCTCTTCAAAGGGGGTGACACTCTAGATCCAAACTGTTACAGACCTATATCCATCCTACCCTGCCTTTCGAAAGTATTTGAAGGCCAAGTTAACAAACAGATCACCGACCACTTTGAATCCCACTGTACCTTCTCCGCTATGCAATCTGGTTTCCAAGCTGGTCATGGGTGCACCTCAGCCACGCTCAAGGTCCTAAACAATATTATAACCGCGATTGATAATAGACAGTACTGTGCAGCCGTCTTCATCGACCTGGCCAAGGCTTTTGACTCTGTCAATCACCGCATTCTTATTGGCAGACTAAATAGCCTTGGTTTCTCAACTGACTGCCTCGCCTAGTTCACCAACTACTTTTCAGATAGAGTTCAATGTGTCAAATCGGAGGGCCTGTTGTCTGGACCTCTGGCAGTCTCTATGGGGGGTACCACAGGGTTCAATTCTCGGGCCAACTCTATTCTCTGTGTATATCAATGAAGTCGCTCTTGCTGCCGGTGACTCTCAGATCCACCTCTACGCAGACGACACCATTTTGTATACATCTGGCCCTTCATTGGACACTGTTTTATCAAACCTCCAAATGAGCTTCAATGCCATACAACACTCCTTCTGTGGCCTCCAACTGCTCTTAAACACTAGTAAAACTAAATGCATGCTCTTCAATCGAACACTGCTTGCACCCGCCCGCCCGACTAGAATCACTACTCTCGGCAGGTCTGACTTAGAATACGTGGACAACTACAAATACCTAGGTGTCTGGTTAGACCGTAAACTCTCCTTCCAGACTCACATTAAGCATCTCCAATCCAAAGTTAAATCTAGAATCGGCTTCCTGTTTCGCAACAAAGCCTCCTTCACTCATGCTGCTAAACATGCCCTCGTAAAACTGACTATCCTACCGATCCTTGATTTCGGCGATGTCATTTACAAAATAGCTTCCAACACTCAACTCAGCAAATTGGATGTAGTCTATCACAGTGCCATCCGTTTTGTCATCAAAGCCCCATATACTACCCACCATTGTGACCTGTACGTTCTCGTTGGCTGGCCCTCACTACATATTCGTCGCCAAACCCACTGCCTCCAGGTCATCTATAAATCACTGCTAAGCAAATCCCCGCCTTATCTTAGCTCATTGGTCACCATAGCAACACCCACCCGTAGTATGCGCTCCAGCAGGTATATCTCACTGGTCATCCCCAAAGCCAACACCTCCTTTGGCCGCCATTCCTTCCAGTTCTCTGCTGCAAATGACTGGAACGAACTACAAAAATCTCTGAAGCTGGAGACGCTTATCTCCCTCATTAACTTTAAGCATCAGTTGTCAGAGCAGCTTACCGATCACTGTACCTGTACACAGCCCATCTGTAATTAGCCCACCCAACTACCTCATCCCCATATTGTTATTTACATTGTTATTTATTTTGCTCATTTGCATCCCGGTATCTCTATTTGCACATCATCTTCTGCACATATATCACTCCAGTGTTAATACTAAATTGTAATTATTTTGCACTATGGCCTATTTATTGCCTTACCTCCAGAACTTACTACATTTGCACACACTGTATATAGATTTTCTATTTTCTATTGTGTTATTGACTGTACGTTTTTGTTTATTCCATATGTAACTCTGTGTTGTTGTTTTTATCGCACTGCTTTGCTTTATCTTGGCCAGGTCGCAGTTGTAAATGAGAACTTGTTCTCAACTGGCTTACCTGGTTAAATAAAGGTTAAAAAAAAAACGTTTTAAAAATCCACATAGGGGAGAAATTCTATGTTTAGTACCTTTTAATAGTTAATAATTCATGTGTAAAATTGTATTTCAGAATGTAGGGATACTCCATATTTTAGAGGACACTATTATGAGTATAATGACAATAAGGTGTTGTCTGTATCATGTACGTTTCACAGATCATTGGGTCTTACAGGGGGCATCTATAGGTCTAAAACGGGCCTAAATTGGCAACTTTCATCATGATCTTAAAAAAATAATTTCTTCCAAATAAGTTTATATGTGAGAGTTGCCAGAACAATCCGAGATACCAAAAATATTTTTGGCCCATGCTGACACAGAATCGCCCTGTACATTACATTACAATACAGTAAACACAGTCATTAAAATACTTGTCATTTCTCTGACTGACAGGGAGCACAATGTGTGTGACATCAACCCTGTCCATCAACTGTTCGCCTCAGGAACAGCAGAGGTGGGTGGAGCCTATGTGCATGTAAAGAGTGAATGGATTGAGTCCTGTGTGTGTGTAACCATGTTTCCTGTGTTGTTGGTGGCTAGGGGAAAGTGGAGTGCTGGGACCCTCGTGTACGAAGTCGGGTGGGGATGCTAGACTGTGCACTGAGCAGCGTCACAGAGGGAACAGAGTAAGTACAACACTAGAACATGAACAGTTACATGTATGTAGAAAAACGCCATTGTTCAAATCCATGATCTGGATGTGTTTGTCTTTAGAGTGGAGGGCTTGCCATCAGTCACCGCCCTCAAGTTTAACGGCTCTCTCACCATGGCTGTGGGAACGAGCACTGGGCAGGTATGAACTTTTACAACGAAGGTGTCTTTTGTGTCCTAATAGCTGGGATACTGCAGAAAACTGCCTAAATGTTCCCCTCCCCACAAGTTTCCCCATTGAGATCTGTCTGCCTGGTACTGTAGGTGCTACTCTATGACCTGCGCTCCAGCCGCCCCCTGCTGGTAAAAGACCATTACTACGGCCTGCCTATCAAGTCTGTCAACTTCCAGGACCACCTAGACCTTGTTCTGACTGCAGACTCCAAGATCATCAAGATCTGGAACAAAGACACGGTAAACATTTAATGAATGTTGAAAATATATTTGATTAATGTTTTTTGAAAACCAGACATTAACCAGGTTTCCGTCCAACTTTTGTTATACGTGTAAAGTACATGTCGGATAAAAAATGTCATGACAGGCCTGATGGAAACAGCAAATTTGTCGGTAAACTTTCCAAATGTCGTCAAAACTAAACATGCTAGACAAGGTGTGATCTTTTTGTGTCTATAAAATTAAAATGGAACTGACATTGTTTTAGCAACATGAAATCTTATAAAAATCTGTTCATATACACACCCAGGAAGAACATGACACCTTTTTTTGACATTTTCTGACAATGTTTGGGAATGCTGTATAGTAAGGCATTTGTGAAAATTATATAGCCATAGCCAATCCAAGCTACAGAAGGCCTATATACAAATAAGCCATTTGCCACACGGGCCTGCCATCATTCACTTTGAACTGGACTGTGTGTTTACAGGCAGTAGCAACAGCGCAACTTTAGATCATTTGAATGCATTCGCCAAAAGCCACAAAATACACCTGAATGGATTTCTTATGTAAATACCACGGGAGTCCTCTTACATTTGGGAACTTCACAGTCCTATTGATCTAACAACCATGAAAAGGTAGGCTATCTCTCCCTCAGTTGCCTATGCACATCAACAACAACAAGATCAACAACTACTGCTAGCCAGAGCGAGAGAACCAAAAATCTAATGAGGGAACATTAGATAAACCCTCTCAAACTCTTTAAGCTAGTTGGCTGTCAAAATTGCACTGAAACGATGGGGAATAGTAGCCTGCTCATCCTTCTGCAGCTTGCCTGCCAATGCAAGTTCCCACTGAATGGGAACTTGCCTGCCTGCCCGCCCATTTGATCGAAGCCAAATACATTTGATTGACATCTAAGAGATATACTAACTGTGGATAACAGTCGTTCAAGTTAAGCATAGCAAAGCGATTCACATTTCTTGCTAGCTAACCAAATGACACCTGTATCTCTAGCTGTAGCCACCAAAAAAACGATATAAGGGGAAAAAAAGTTGGTCACTCACCCACTCCTCCAATGACATGACATCCTCCCAGCAGCTAGCTAACGTTAGGCTCTGTGTTTTTAGCTTGCTAAATAAATAGCTAGCTACATAAATAGATACGCTAGCCCAGGGGTGTCAAACTCAATTGGCGCATGGGCAATATTGAAAAATCACAAAGAATTCGCGGGCCAGACATAGCCTATTTGTTTTTACAAAACATACGTGCAACTGCGACCCAGACTGGCCATTGTTTAATATGGCCCTTTATAATGCCCACTTATGTACGTAGGATGCTGTATATAGCACTTTAACATATTAGAACAAAAGAAGAGATAAATAATATTTGTCCAGCCTTTGCTGCTATGCTTGCAGATGTGCATAATATGCTGCAACCCTAATCAATAGGAATTTAGTAACTCCAAATAACAAAAATGTAGCTATAGGTTTGTTGTAACATTTAAACTTAAAACATGTTTTTCATTTTTTTGCTGTGGACTCATTTATACTTGCTTGTGTGTCCTATTCGGCCCGTTATGACTGACTTGTGATCATTGCCCTTGCTAGTTTAATTGTAAAGACATTCCCAGCCTTAGTTACAGTCGTCCGTTTTTGTTCAATGTATTGAGTCATTGAAACTGAAACAGTGCATCCCGAATGGGTGGAGGCAGCAAACAATGTACCAGGCCAGCTGTGATTTACAACCCAATAGCAATATTTTTTGGACTACCAAGAAATGGGTTGGTGAATTATATTAATCATGCATTGAAATGCGTCCATCTATTCTGCCAACAATGCCTTACTGTATGTCATGTAATTTTGAGTCAAATAGAACCTATTTTAAAACCTATTATGAATTTGTTTTGAAGCATAAACTGGGAATTTGATCTTTTTTACTGATATTATGATCTGTTTGTTTTTCATATCCACAAAGTAGTTAAAATGATTTTGCTGCGAAGAGACAGAATCATTAGATCATTTGTTTTGGTACTGTCCATTTGTAGCTTGTTTTTGGACACAGGTCCAGGAATGGCTAAAGGATTGCAATATTTACCTGGAGCTAACCTTGCAGATAGCATTACTGGGTGATCTGAAAAGTCATTGTCAATCGATCAATAATATAATAATACTTTTAGCAAAAATGTTTATTTTCAATTCACAGTCTGTAGAAACTTTTTTCAAATCATCATGAGTTGCATCATGCAGCCTTACAATGTATTAAAAATCAAAACATATATCCCAACTTTTGGAGAACAACTAAAGTTACATTAATTAAGCATATAGGAGTACCTATTTCTTTGTTAACTGCTCATCACAGAATAGCCGCATGTGCGCACTCCCTCAAATAATTTGGCGAAAATATCCTTTCTATTTTATTCAGCTTTGTGCAATTGTATTCTTCATACAATAAAATAATATAAAATAATGCCACGGAATTCTAAGCAAATCTTGTCTGCTAAATGAACTAGTGTAGCCCACAGCCATATGGCATAGCCAGATCAGGACCTAACATAAGGACAACTCAGAGTATACTATTCTGTTCTTCTGAAATAGACAACATTTTCTTCATATCATGCTTCTTTAGACCTCTCTAAAATAAATAATGAATTTATTTTGAAGGTGTAGGCTATATTACATGGATTTATTAGACTTTTTAAAATGTAGATGTTCCAAAGGTCAGCATCAGTGGCTTGTAGGCTATGCGTGGAAGCCAGGAGATGCTAAATGTGTTTATGGTAATTAACGGTCAATTACCGTGAGACCGACAGTTATTTGCTTGACAATCACCGGCTGACGAAAGTTCGTGACCCCCTCAGCCCTAGTTGCACCCCCTGCTTTTGCTGTCAGAACAGCCTTAATTCGTCGGGGGATGGATTCTACAAGGTGTTGAAAGCGTTTCACAGGGATGCTTGCCCATGTTGACTCAAGTGCTTCCCACAGTTGTGTCAAGTTGGCTGGATGTCCTTTGGGTGGTGGACCATTCTTGAAACACACGGGAAACTGTTGAGCGTGAAAATCCCAGCAGCGTTGCAGTTCTTGACACAAAGTGGTGTGCCTGGTACCTACTACCATACCCAATTCAAAGGCACTTACATATTTTTGTCTTGCCCATTCACCCTCTGAATGGCACACATACACAATCCATGTCTCTATTGTCGTAAGGCTTAAAAATCCTTCTTTAACCTGTCTCCACCCCTTCATCTACGCTGATTGAAGTGGATTTACAGTGCCTTCAGAAAGTATTTACAACCCTTGATTTTTTTCCCACATTTTGTTGTTACAGCCTGAATTAAAAATTGATTAAATTTAGATTTTGTGCCACTGGCCTACACACAATACCCCATAATGTCAAAGTGGAATTATGTTTTTAGACATTCCTGCTCAACAAGTCACATAATAAGTTGCATGGACTCACTCTGTGTGCAATAATAGTGTTTAACATGATTTTTGAATGACTACCTCTGTACCCGACACATACAATTATCTGTAAGGACCCTCAGTCAAGCAGTGAATTTCAAACACAGATTCAACCACAAAGACCAGGGAGGTTTTCCAATGCCTCTTAAAGAAGGGCACCTTTTGGTAGATGGGTTAAAAAACAAAACAAAAAAAATATTGAATATCCCTTTGAGCATGGTGAAGTTGTTAATTACACTTTTGATGGTATATCAATACACCCAGTCACTACAAGGATACAGGCGTCCTTCCTAACTCAGTTGCTGGAGAGGAAGGAAACCGCTCAGGGATTTCACCATGAGGCCAATTGTGACTTTAATGTAGTTTAATGGCTGTGATAAGAGAACTGAGGATGGATCAACAACATTGTAATTACTCCACAATACTAACCTAAATGACAGAGTGAAAAGAAGGAAGCATGTACAGAATAAAAATATTCCAAAACATGCATCCTGTTTGCAATAAGGCACTAAATGTCCTGAAAGCGTTGTTTGGCGCAAATCCAACACAATACATCACTGAGTACCACTTCATATTTTCAAGCATGGTGTTGGCTGCATCATGTTATGGGTATGCTTGTCGTCGGCAAGGACTAGGCAGTTTTTTAGGATAAAAATAAACAGGAATAGAGCTAAGCTCTGGCCAAATCCTAGAGGAAAACCTGGTTCAGTCTGCTTTCCAACAGACACTGGGAGACAAATTCCCATTTCAGCAGGACAATAACCTAAAACACAAGACCAAATATACACTGGAGTTGCTTACCAAGTCGACATTGAATGTTCCTGAGTGGCCTATTTACAGTTTTGACTTAAATCGGCTTGAAAATCTATGGCAAGACCTGAAAATGGCTGTCTAGCAATGATCAACAACCAACTTGACAGAGCTTGAAGAATTTTTTAAAAGAATAATGTGCAAATATTGTTCAATCCAGAAAGACTCACAGCTGTAATCACTGCCAAAGGTGATTCTAACATGTATTGACTCAGGGGTGTGAATACATATGTATTGTGTGTAGATGGGTGAGATGGGTATTTAATCCATTTTGAATTTGGGTGCTAACACAACAATGTGGATTAAGTCAAGGGCTATGAATACTTTCTGAAGGCAGTGTATTTGAACCAGAATATTTTCTGTAATTTATTTTACTACTGTTGGAGACAGACATGGTGCTGTATCAGGATTCAACGTGAATTGGGAGAAAACTGAAATAATACCCATTTCTAATTGTGACTTCTCAAGCTTAGAAAGTACATTTTAAGTGGAAACGGACAAAGACAAATATGGAATACCTGGGTGTACTGATACCATGCAATCTGGAGGAGGCATATAAAATATATTATTTTCCTTTAATAGATAAGATTGAATCCCATGTTCAGAGATGGAGATCCCTCCCTATTTCTATGTTGGGTATGGTCAACATAATCAAAATGAATATATTACAAATGTTGATTTATTCCAGGCCCTGCCAGTTTCAGTTCCATCCAACTTTTAAAGTAAAATAAATGGCCTGCTTTCCAACTTTATTTGGAATGGAAAGACCTGAAGAGTCAAATTAACTGTTTTACACTTACCCTATAAAGCTGGAGGTATTGGACTACCTCATATGAAGATGTATTACTGGGCTGCACAACTGTGTTCACTTTAACAATGTACAGCAGACTATCCTTGTGCATAGAGAAGTATTGAAGGCATAAATGTAATACCTTATGATCTAAAATATTTTCACTACTTCGGTTCCAAGGCATTGTAGAAAAAAAATAGGCAATCCAATGATTCTCAATTCCATTCGTATTTGGGAAAATGTACATAAATTCATGAGGTGGAAATGACCAATATCGACAGGCACCCCTATTTGGAATAACCCAGTGTTTAATGACAACACCTTCAAGTCCTGGTTCCAAAGTGGCATCCATGAATTTTGAACGTGTACTATACTGAACAAAAATATATACTGAACAAAACTGTAAACGCAAAACAATTTTTACGATTTTACTGAGTTAGAGTTCATATAAGGAAATCAATCAATTGAAATAAATTCATTAGGCACTAATCTATGAATTTCACATGACTGGGAATATAGATATGCATCTGTTGGTCACAGATACCTTAAAAACAAGTAGGCGTGGATCAGAAAACCAGTCAGTATCTGGTGTGACCACCATTTGCCTCATGCAGCGCGAAACACATCTCCTTCGTATAGAGTTGATCAGGCTGTTGATTGTGGTCTGTGGAATGTTGTCCCACTCCTCTTCAATGGGTGTGCGGAGTTGCTGGATATTAGTGGGAACTGGAACACGCTGTCGTACACGTCGATCCAGAGCATCCCAAACATGCTCAATGGGTGACATGTCTGTTGAGTATGCAGGCCAGAACTGGGACATTTTCAGCTTCTAGGAATTGTGTACAGACCCTTGCGTCATGGGGCCGTGCATTATCATGCTGAAACATGAGGTGATGGCGGCGGATGAATGGCACGACAATGGGCCTCAGGATCTCGTCACGGTGTCTCTGTGCATTCAAATTGCAATTGATAAAATGCAATTGTGTTCATTGTCTGTAGCTTATACCTTCCTATACCATAACCCCACACCACCATGGGGCGCTTTGTTCACAACGTTGACATCAGCAAACCGCACGCCCACACGACCCAATACACATGGTCTGCGGTTGTGAGGCCGGTTGGATGTACTGCCAAATTCTCTAAAACAACGTTGAAGGCGGCTTATGGTAGAGAAATTAACATTAAATTCTCTGGCAACAGCTCTGTTGGACATTCCTGCAGACAGCATGCCAATTGCACAATCCCTCAACTTGAGACATCTGTGGCATTTAGTTGTGTGACAAAACTGCACATTTTAGAGTGTCCTTTTATTGTCCACAGCACAAGATGCACCTGTGTAATTATCATGCTGTTTAATCAGCTTCTTGATATGCCACACCTGTCAGGTGGATGGATTATCTTGGCAATGGAGAAATGCTCACTAACAGGGATTAAATACACATTTGTGCACAACATTTGAGGGAAATAAGCTTTTTGTGAGTATTGAACATTCTGGGATCTTTTATTTCAGCTCTTGAAACATGGGACCAACGCTTTACATGTTGCGTTTATATTTTTGTTCAGTATATGATGGATCTCTACTGTCGTTCAGTCAATTACAAGAAAGATTTGGATTATCCAAGACTGATTTCGTTCCATTTTTACAACTCAGAAATCTTCAACAGAATCTGGATGAACCTAAGGCATCTAGCATAGACAAAAATACTGAAAGAAGCTGATACGCTAAATAAGTTAATTGCCAAGTAATACCCAGGATGGTTAAAACTCTACCTGATGGTTCAGAACCTATAAGGTTCCTTCTGTCCAAAGGAAGAAGTTGAGGAGAACCATCGGTCACAGATATGTGAAAACGTTCATACATGCTCCTACAACAAGACATTAACTAATGCAATTTAACATAATTCATAGGACTTACTACACTCCTGCCAGAATGCATGTAATGCACCCAGAAATGTCACATCTCTGTTGAGATGCAAAAAAACACATATTGAATATGCTGTTGTCCTGTGATACATTATCCCAAAATGGTGTCAATTTATGTACTATCATTTCATTGTGTCTAGGAATTTATATCCATCATTACATTTTAGTCATTTAGCAGATGCTCTTATCCAGAGCGACTTACAGTTAGTGAGTGCATACATTTTAATTTTTTTTCATCTCCAAGATTGTCTGTTGGAAATGTAAATATTGGTGATCAATATCAAATAAAGTTTTTTTTAATCTAGATCTAATTGCTGGAGAGAAATATATAGCCGTCAATTGGAAAGACTCATATTCACCCTCAATAACAAACTGTAGGACTGAACTATCTAGCTACATACTGTTGGATTTTGTATATTATAATATTAAATACAAAACTGAAGTGTTTGAAATTTGGAGACAATATGTTGATCACCTTGGGTAATGTGTTTGTATAGTGGCCGTTTTATGTTTTTGTGTTGTGGAAAAACAATTATCTTTTTTTTTTTATTATACGAATATTTGCATGAAAATCTGTCAGCAATTGGATGGAAACCTAGCTATTGTGCCCCAATTTGACAGAAGTGACATTTGAAAATGTTTATTTAGGATGTTCCAAAAACAGCGAAGATGATTTATGCAGATTTAGAACATTGTCAACTCCACTATTCCAAACTAAGTGTTTGCATTTTTTGGAAACGCCTTTGCATTTTTTATGGTAAAAATGTCATAGTGTCATTATTGATGAAAGTGAGACCACTAACTAACTATCACAGTGCTAGAACATATATTCTAACCGTACCTTTGGTCTGTTTCACCCCAGGGGAAAGTGTTCTCCTCCATTGAGCCCCAGACGAACATCAACGACGTGTGCATCTATCCTGGTTCTGGTGAGAATCACCTCAGAAAGACTGTTCCATTCTATGAGCAATGAGCCAGATACACTAAACATTGCGTCTGTACCAAGTTTAACTTGGAGATGTTGGCCTACAGGCACTCTTATGTGCTTGGTAGTAATTTACCAGTATGCTCAACTACCACTAGATGGTACCAAGTGACCTCATCAACAAGACCTAACCACTTCTGCACCAGGGATATGCTTCTGTATGAGATGGCTTCGACTTTGCTTTTGAAATAAGATTGCCACTCTATCCACTGACAGCTTCTCTACCAGCAATTATGCCTAATTACAGCAATCTTTAATGAGCACTTGAGTTAAACTGTTTAAGACGCTCATTCAGGATGTAATCGCTGTAATTTCACGTAATTAGCAAATCCCCAGAACCATTTATATGGATGATTTGTCATCAAATGAAGATGAAGATGGGAGCAAGCCAGGCATTTGTCAGTAATGGTTACATAATGGTTACACACATCTTAACATTTAAAAATCCAGCAAGGTTTTTTGGTTATTTTGCTGTTTCCTATTTGACTCTGTGTAGTCTACTGCCTGCATACCTACTATAGTCACCCTATGCTTATATGGGCTATACTTTCTGCATGTTCATGCAGTTAGGCTTGTAACTAGAGTCAAACAAAACCAGCAGACAATGAGCCTTTTTGTACAGTTCCACATAACCTTAGTTTATTACCTTGCTAATTTTAATATGGGGAAAAAATCTGGTTGTTTCGTTAGCTCATCTCACTCATTCACATCTTCTCCGTTTTCTCTCCTCCTAACTTCACAGGTATGCTCTTCACTGCCAATGAAGACCCCAAGATGAATACATTCTATATCCCTGTGAGTTCTACCACCCTTACACTCCCTCAGGCCTATTTGACAGTTTGGTTTTACTGCTAGTTTTACATGCCTCAGTGTGCCGCATGTTTGGTTTGAAAGGGACATTTTCCATGAGATAGATTTTACGCCAGGGTGTGAATTGAAACCAAACCGACCAAGGCAGTATAGAGAAGGCACGAAAGGACGATCTCTGTTTTGAGGTCTTGAGTGTTTAGACTTTTGTTCAGTTTAGTTTTTACAGCATCCCCATTTGGCTGGTGTTTTATGGCCCGCAAAAAAAGACTAAAGGGCATTATTCGTAGAAAACCGCCCACTGGGTTTTACCCAGAAAGTGCCCTTGTTGGGTTGTGAATGTTCTTCAGCAACAGGTGGTCTTGTACCTACCCCTATACCAGCTTTTCAGTTCTAGGAAAAGTGTTTGTACATTGTAAAAAAAAAAACTACAAAAAACTTGTGTACACTTTAAATTAGTCTCTTTAAGAAGTTTGTGTGTGTGTACGGTAAAGTAGTCTCTATTTAGGAAGTTGGTGAGTGTCTACGGTAAAGTAGTCTCTATTTAGGAAGGTGATGTGGTAACCCTGACACACAACTAGTTTCTATAAGTACTGTCATTAGTTTCTATAAGTATTCATCAACCACTGATTAGATCACTGTGTTGGTGAGCTACAGAAAACAAGCTCTTAAATAGTGTGTGTTTGGGCCAACAGAGAGCTAATACTGAACTTAGGAAATATTGCGTTCATCTGTTAACAGCAAACGCATTCTATTTTTGGTTATTGGAGTTTTGAAATACTTCTGCAGAAAATGAAGGTCGATATCAAACATTCACATAGCAGTGCTCAAACTGCCCTGAATAAATAGCTACATTTTTTACTCAGGTATGCTATGAACATCAATGGTAACGTCAAATATAACACAAAGTTGTCAACTTGTTTGGTTTACTCATCTAATCTATCATTCATGAATTTGAGGCAGGCGTGTGATTCCAGTTCCAGAGAGCTCCTTTCTCCCAGTTTTTTTAACTGGTGGGCAAAGATCTCCAACGCATGCCTCCCAAGCTGCCCTACAGTACAGTAGGGCAAAGTTTTGAAGTTAACATTAGCCATTTGCTCCTCAATGATTACACTGAGGAAGGTGACATTACGTAGACTTTGAACTCTGATTTGATAGAACAGAAGTCTTACGATAATGGGATGATTTCAATCTGATAAGATTCATTCAATCCTTGTCGACTCGTCCTCAGAGCCCTGAGAGGATTGGATAGGTGCAAGCAACATGGCAGAAACTACACCTAGCCAGCTGGAATGTTGCCAACACCTACTTTCCTTACCAGCCCTCAAGCGCAGTGAAAAGGGAGAATGTATTGAATTAGAATTCTTCAAATGTGGGCCTCCCGAGTGGCACAGCGGTCTAAGGCACTGCAGTGCTTGAGGCGTCACTACAGATCCGGGGTTCGATCCCGGGCTGTGTTGCAGCCGGCCTGACCGGGAGACCCATGAGGCGACGCACAATTGGCCCAGCGTCGTCCAGGTTAGGGGAGGGTTTGGCAGGCCGGGATGTCCTTGTCCCATCGCGCTCTAGCGACTCCTGTGGCGGGCCGGGCGCATTGACCTTCACCTCTCCCGAGTCCGTACGGGAGTAGCAGCGATGGGACAAGATTGTAACTACCAATTGGATATCACGGAATTGGGGAGAAAAAAGGGGTAAAAAGTACAAAAATTAATGTTTCTTGTTCTTCAAATGTTTCTTGTTCTTCATTCCTTGTCCTTCCTTCACTCTATCCCTTGTTCTTTTATCTCCTTCCTCCCCTTCATGTTGTCCCTGTGTAGGCACTGGGGCCTGCTCCTCGCTGGTGCTCTTTCCTGGACAACCTGACAGAGGAGCTGGAGGAGAGCCCTGATAGTACCGTCTACGATGACTACAAGTTTGTCACCCGCAAGGACCTGGAGAACCTGGGTGAGATTAGGGCTGTTATGGTGACCGTATTACAGCCACATCGGCGGTCAAGAGTCATGAGGGCAGTCAAATTCCACGTGACCGTTTAGTCACGGTAATTAGGCTTCTCCAAGCTCTGATGCTGCTTATGGTCATTAGTAGCCTACCAAACTTGCTAACTGCCTGGTACTCAGCACTCTATTGTCCCTCTAATCACTCTGACATCAATGCAAATGAATTTCGAACAGCTAATCAAACACTTAATGAGAGCCTATGAGCTCATGTTTACATTTACATTTTACATTTTCGTCATTTAGCAGACGCTCTTATCCAGAGCGACTTACAAATTGGTGCATTCACCTTATGATAGCCAGTGGGACAACCACTTTACAATATATCAACAAAAAAATGTTTGTGGGGTAGGGGGAGGGTAGAAGGATTACTTTTATCCTATCCCAGGTATTCCTTAAAGAGGTGGGGTTTCAAGTGTCTCCGGAAGGTGGTGAGTGACTCCGCTGTCCTGGCGTCGTGAGGGAGCTTGTTCCACCATTGGGGTGCCAGAGCAGCGAACAGTTTTGACTGGGCTGAGCGGGAACTGTGCTTCCGCAGAGGTAGGGGGGCCAGCAGGCCAGAGGTGGATGAACGCAATGCCCTCGTTTGGGTGTAGGGACTGATCAGAGCCTGAAGGTACGGAGGTGCCGTTCCCCTCACAGCTCCGTAGGCAAGCACCATGGTCTTGTAGAAGATGCAGGCTTCAACTGGAAGCCAGTGGAGTGTGCGGAGGAGTGGGGTGACGTGAGAGAACCTGGGAAGGTTCAACACCAGACGGGCTGCAGCGTTCTGGATGAGTTGTAGGGGTTTAATGGCACAGGCAGGGAGCCCAGCCAACAGCGAGTTGCAGTAATCCAGACGGGAGATGACAAGTGCCTGGATTAGGACCTGTACCGCTTTCTGTGTAAGGTAGGGTCGTACTCTGCGAATGTTGTAGAGCATGAACCTACATGGTCGGGTCACTGCTTTGATGTTAGCGGAGAACGACAGGGTGTTGTCCAGGGTCACGCCAAGGTTCTTTGCACTCTGGGAGGAGGACACAACGGAGTTGTCAACCATGATGGCGAGATCATGGAGCGGGCAGTCCTTCCCCGGGAGGAAGAGCAGCTCCGTCTTGCCGAGGTTCAGCTTGAGGTGGTGATCCGTCATCCACACTGATATGTTTGCCAGTCATGCAGAGATGCGATTCGCCACCTGGTTATCAGAAGGGGGAAAGGAGAAGATTAATGTTGAGCAACGTTTCTATAGGCTATGCAATTGCGTGAGAAAACAGAGTGATGGCCTCTACTGAAAAGAGGAGGATCAGCCTTCTATAGGCTAGGCCTACTATATTTATTTCTGAACTTTCCTAATATTAAGCACATTGTTTCTCATTACAGCATGAGTATAGCCTACCTGGCTGGCATGAAAATGAACCACGGGAAACGCGTCCTCCATTCGCTATTTAAGTGCATAGATAATTTTTTCCCCCTGCCCCTGTTTCGGGACTGGTGCATGACAATGGTCCATTCTAAATCAAACATTTTTTCACACACATTATTTAGTATATGTATAGACAAGATTACATCAAGAATAGTCTGAAGGATGACAATATTAGCCTATCACTGGTGAATGATATATTATCACTTGTGAATGATGCCCAGCTTGTGTGCAGTAAGGCCAGAAACAGTGCATGCCTTTTTCCCCCGACTTTATCAAATCATAATCGTACACCTCATATAGCCCATAGGCCTAAATGTTTTGATAATACGGTATGTATCACAACTAAAGTGGCCAAATAACTTCTTAAAATGAAGCACTTGAATCTGCTTTACAACGGGTGTAGAGCCTAACTGGCATACAAACTCAAAATCGTGAGTTTCAAGTTTGGGGAAGATAATTTTCACCATAAAAATGCATCTTTATAATAAAAGCATTATATGCTAATCGCATTTGCGGTCAGTTTTGAGAATGGTGTTTTCCTTCTAATTGACTGCATTTTGGAACATTCGCACTTATAGCCTACTGCCATGTGTGGATTGCTGCGCTTATAATGTGAAGAAATAGCCTAATAGTTTATCAACATTTTAAGCTTAAACGTTCTGATCTGTTGCATCAGCCTCATTGCTTTTAAAAGGTTTTTTGATGCTAGTGGTTGTATTAATTTGGGATCTATCGCATCCCACAACTGTACCAGACTGTTTGTATATTTATTTCTTGCACAGAATAGAATAGGCCAACTTTTGTACTATGGGGGATAGTAGATTGACATAAGCTAGTGCTTTTGCAGTTCGTTAGGCCTACTCCTCTTGTTGGCTGACGAAAAGTAAATGTGGACAGTTCTTCCAACATCTTCAATATGCGCCTCGGAATGCGATAAGGACGGGGGCAGTTGCTTCCCCGATGTGTCTGTCTTCACTTGTAGCCTGTGAGAAGGACCCGATCACGTGATGGGCATTGGCTAATAACAATTGAGATACAGTGCATTCGGGCCCCTTCCCCTTTTCCACATTTTGTTTTGTTATAGCCTTATTCTAAAATGGATTACATTGTTTTCCCCCCATCATCAATCTACACACAATACCCCATAATGACGAAGCAAAAACAGGTTTTTAGAAATTGTTGCAAATTTATAAAAATACAAAAACTGAAATATCACATTTACATAAGTATTCATACCCTTTACTCAGTACTTTGTTGAAGCACCTTTGGCAGTGATTACAGCCTCGAGTCTTCTTGGGTATGACGCTACAAGCTTGGCACACCTGTATTTGGGGAGTTTCTCCCATTCTTCTCTGCAGATCCTCTCAAGCTCTGTTAGGTTGGATGGGGAGTGTCGCTGCACAGCTATTTTCAGGTCTCTCCAGAGATGTTTGATCGGGTTCAAGTCCGGGCTCTGGCTGGGCCACTCAAGGACATTCAGAGACTTGTCCCGAAGCCACTCCTGCGTTGTCTTGGCTGTGTGCCTTCGCCCCAGTCTGAGGTCCTGAGCGCTCTGGAGCAGGTTTTCATCAAGGATCTCTCTGTACTTTGCTCTGTTCATCTTTCCCTCAATCCTGACTAGTCTCCCAGTCCCTGCCGCTGAAAAACATCCCCACAGCACGATGCTGCCACCACCATGCTTCACTGTAGGGATGGTTCCAGGTTTCCTCCAGACGTGACGCTTGGCATTCAGGCCAAAGAGTTCAATCTTGGTTTCATCAGACCAGACAATCTTGTTTATCATGGTCTGAGAGTCCTTTAGGTGCCTTTGGCAAACTCCAAGCAGGCTGTCATGTGCCTTTTACTGAGGAGTGGCTTCCGTCTGGCCACTTTACCATAAAGGCCTGATTGGTGTAGTGCTGCAGAGATTGTTGTCCTTCTGGAAGGTTCTCCCATCTCCACAGAGAACTCTGGAGCTCTGTCAGAGTGACCATTGGGTTCTTGGTCACCACAGGTGGACTCCAATGAAGTTGTAGAAACATCTAAAGGATGATCAATGGAAACAGGATGCACCTGAGCTCAATTTCGAGTCTCATAGCAAAGGGTCTGAATACTTATGTAAATAAGGTATTTCTGTTTTTATTGTTAATACATTTGCAAAAATCATCATTAGTCGCATCATGCATCCTTAGAATGTATTAAAAATCTAAACAAATAGCCTAACATTTGTATCACAACTGAAGTTGCATAAATAACTCTAAATTAAGCATGTAGGAGGACCTGTTTCTTTGTTAACCGCTCAACACAGAATGGCTGCATGTGCACACTCCCTCATCGTTTGGAGAAAATATCCTTTCTATTTTATTCAGCTATGTTCAATTGTGTTCTTCATACGATAAAATAGTATAAAATAATGCCACGGAATTCTAAGCAAATCTTGTCTGCTAAATGAACTAGTGTAGCCCACAGCCATATGGCATAGCCAGATCAGGGCCTAACATAAGGTCATCTCAGAGTATGCTATTCTGTTCTTCTGAAATAAACTACATTTTCTTTATATCGTGTATCTTTAGACCTGTCTAAAATAAATAATCGATTTATTGTGATGGTGTAGGCTATATTACATGGATTAATTAGACTTTTTTAAATGTAGATGTTCCAAAGGTCTGCATCAGTGGCGTGTAGGCTATGCGTGGAAGCTAGGAGATACTAAATGTGTTTATGTTAATTAATGGTAAATTACAGTGAGACCGGCAGTTATTTGCTTGACAATCACCCACTGACAAAATGTCATGACCGCCACAGCCCTAGGTGAGAGGGGGGTGGAGGTGGAGCTATTGGCATATTACCTATCAGCTGTTACCTATTTGTTCCTCTAAGATCTACAGGAATACAAGTGCCTATTGAATTGAGGATTCTAGTTATTTTAGGCCTACAGTTCCTAGGGAAACTTCCAGGGCTGTCTACACTACACTTGCCATTCAGTGGAGACCATTTTTGAATTTAGGCAAGTTGAGGCAATATAACGGCCAGGCTTACCAGTCCCACCTAAAAATGAACGGTAGGGGAAACGCTGACGGAATGGAGAGAGAAATGTAGAGATGGAAGAAGGGATAGTGAGAGATGAAGGGGTGGCGAACAGAACGGTTGAAAGAACAGAGGAATGCTTGGGTTAGCACTAAAGAGATCAAATGACGAGGAGAAAGTCGGTTGGTTGGGGAGGAATAAAAGGAGAGAGGGAGGGTGAGAGCGAGAGGGGTGGAGTAGATGAGGGAGAAAGGGGGAAGAAGGACTAAGGGGAAGGGGAGTTCAGTTCACTGCAGCTGTGTAATGTAACAGACAGGCAGCCGGGCGGATAGTGAGATTTTTTGGGGAAGGGGGTTTCTATCTTTTTACCTCTCACACACACAGTCCTTGCCAGGGTTGGAGAGTAACTGATTACATGTAATCTGATTACAAAAAAACTAACTATAATCCGTTACGTTACCGGCAAAAATATTGTAATTAGATTAGACACTTTTGAAAAACAAGATTATTACTTCTTGGATTACTTTGAAATGCTTTCTGAATGACATTCAATTTAGCATTGAAAATAGGAGCAAGCTTAAGTTTGTTCCACCTGAGCAAATCTGACCACAAGTTTGATGGATCCTTTTTGTCTTCTAATGCCTCATAAAAGGAAAGCAATCCAAAAGTAACGGAAATTAATCAGATTACGTTACTGAGTTTGGGTAATCCAAAAGATACGTTACTGATTACAATTTTGGGCAGGTAACTAGTAACTGTAACGGATTACACTTACAAAGTAACCTACCCAACCCTGGTCCTTGCGTGCCACAACTCCCACACATTCCTGAACTAAAGTGGTCTTACAGGGAACTAAGCAGAGACTAAAAAGCCTCATGGCAGTCTCTAACTCCACTTCATTCAGAGCTTAAAGAATGGTGGCTGGAGACTGATGTTACAAAACTTTATCTAAATGCTCTCAAAAGGCGTCTTGCCAAATAGCTGAAAGGTCAATGTTAGCCGAATCTAACAAAAATGAAACAAGCTATCACTACAGTCCTGTTGAAAGACATTCACTTTGACAAAACTGTTTTTCTTCAGCATTTTATCCAAATACATAGTTGGGTTGCATGCAATTGATTATGAAAATCTGTAATATGAAGTAAAAGCTTAATGATCGTAAGTATAGGCCTACCCTATGTTCCCTACTGTCCTGAACGTGTCAGTTTAAATGTGAATAACCAGCCTGTTGAAAGAAGCAGATGTCTGCAGATATGTATAGTCTTATGTAATTTTCTTTCAGCACATTCCAATAGGCTGCTTCTCAGAGTTAAAGGGATAGTTCACCCAAATTACAAAATTATATTGGTTTCCTTACCCTGGAAGCCAGTGGTATTCAAAGTCAGGGTCAGTGGGGTCGGCAAATTTAAATAAAACTTTATTTTTGGGGGGTGGGGGAACCAAAAATGAAATAGTACAGATTATTTTATGGGACAATATACAAACGTTTTTGACAAAAATACAATTTTATTGAGTACATTTATTTATTGGTTCTCTTAATTTTGATAAGAGATGAAAATGTAATGAATTGAAGGTAATTTGTTGATGTGAAAATCAACATTTACAACAACATTAGGTTTGTGGTGGGGTGGGGTCGACAATTTCTGACAAAAAAAATGGGGTCCCCGCTGAAAAAGGTTTAATACCACTCTTGGAAGCAGTCTATGGACAAGGTGTGACAGCAATCCATGCTTTGGTTTATTTTCCCTGGCACTGTTCCCAGTCACAAATCCCATTCAAGTCATGGTACCGATATTAGCATTTTTTGCGCATCATGTTCAAATCATCTATAAGTGATGTCTTTGAGCTTCACAATCAATTTTAGATACTTTTGGATGATTTGGACATGATGCGTGAAAAATGCTAATATCGGTACCATGACTTGAATGGGGCTTGTGCCACAACTGCTAAAATGTTAGCATTTGGAAACGGTGCCAGGGAAATAAAAACAAAGGAACTCCCCACACCTGGTTGTCTAGGGCTTAATTGAAAGGAAAAAACAAAACCTGCAGACACTAGGCCCTCCATGGAATTAGTTTTAACACCCCTTGCTTACAGGGTAAGAAAACCAATGTGTTATTTGGGTGAACTATCCCTTTTAATTAATAAGCCTTACTGTGCTTGGCAATGCACATCACCAATTTGAAAGATCACAAATCTTTTAATGAGTTTCAGGTGACGTGGCCTGCCTCAGGGAAGTTGAATATAGAGATACTGTATGTAAAATATATAGATCAACAATCATTATACAAATGTAACATTTAGCTGTTCACTCATGTTAAGCAAATATGTACATTTCATGTACATATCATCTATAATGTTGTGTTCAACCATAGGTCTGTCTCACCTGGTGGGATCTGCTCTCCTGCGGGCCTACATGCATGGCTTCTTCATGGACATCAGACTGTACCACAAGGTAGGTTGTGTGTGTGTGTCTAACTGCATATTCTTAGTTGATTGTCGATGTTACAGAGTTATGTGTTTAAATACCTTTTGTGTGACTTGTCCAGGTGAAGACCATGGCCAATCCGTTTGCCTATGAGGAGTACCGCAAGGACAAGATTCGCCAGAAGATAGACGAGTCCAGGGCCCAGAGAGTACAAATCAAGGTGGGATAACATACTCTGTCTGACTGTTAAAAACATACATTCAGACAGACTGGACATGGTGATACAGATGATGTTTTCTAAGAAGTATATATAGCTAATATATTGTGTGTTGTGTTGTATGAATGTTCTGTGTTGCTGAGACAGAAGCTGCCCAAGGTGAACAAGGAGCTGGCTCTCAAACTGATGGAGGAGGGAGACGACGAGGCGGAACTGTCTGCCAGAAAGAAGAAGGGCAAGGTAGGAGCACATGCACCTGCACACACACTCAAAGTTCACATACTACTGGTCTGGTCTACAATGGATGAAGACTTCCGAGCTGTAGGCTGGGTTTATATATTTTTGGTTCTAAGGTAATCTAGAGGAAACTGGCATGTATATCTCAAATAAACTCATCTAGCGAATGTCAGCTGCCTAAGCTGTTAATCAAGTCCTTTCTCTCCCTCTGCCAGGCTCTACCCAGCATCCTTAGCGACGAGCGTTTCCAGGTGATGTTTGAGAACCCAGACTACCAGGTGGAGGAGCAGAGTGAGGAGTTCCGCCTGCTCAACCCCATTGTGTCCAAAGTGGGCCAGAAGAGGAGGAAGAAGCTGCAGCTGCTAGCCAAGCAGGCCACAGATGCCGAAAAGGTAACGAGGCTAGCTAGCTAGCTTTCTACCCCTACTGAGTTTGAGAGATACGCTTCTGAATCGTATACCCAAAATGGAATGTGGCTTTCAGTGTGAACATTCTTTATACCCATTCTAATTCTACAATGCCACCCCCTGCCTCTTTTTCCTCTGCAGGCGGAGGCAGACCAGGAAAAGGAGGAACCAGAGGGGCGTGGCAGCTCAGACGAGAGTTCTGATGACGATAAGAGCTGGGTGGACGAGGTCAGGGAGCAGCGGCGCCTCATATATGAGGAGGGAAGGGACCGCAGGCGGCAGGAGAGGAAGGAGCAGGACCGCAACACCACCCTGCTGGACAAGGACTCCACCCAGAACCAGGCCCAGGGCAGGAAACAGGGTCAGCAGCCCCGCTTCTTCCAGATCAAGGCTGGTGAGGAGTTCCGCAGCTTTGGGGACGTGGCGCGCAAGCAGAAATTGCAGAAGTGAGTACAGTTTTTTCCCCCCCAGTGAGCTTCTGGTGATGTTCTCTATTCTCTACGAACAACCTCTGAACCATAACATTTTGAATAGATGCCACAGAGCGTCACAGCACACAATCCAAAGGAAGCGGGGGGTACTACAGCGATTGCATCAAATGCTATGTATTTTCCCATTGTTTACTGTCAATCAGCAGAAATAATCACCCCTCACATGGACATGGCACATAGAGTATATAATAGGGCTGCACGATATGGGCAAAAAATACATTTTTATCAAATATTGTGATTGTGATTGACGTGGGATATAGATCAAAACACTTAGGTGAACTGTTGGAATCATAGAAATAGAATGACATATTAAAAAGCAAAGTTGAAAACAGCATCGTTTTTGTTTTGAACAATCAGTTGACTGCATTTGACCTAACAAAACCTCATGCAAACTTATAGTGAATCCTTATAGTGAATCCTCAAAAAGTTATACAGCTGCACCATCGAGAGCATCCTGACTGGTTGCAATGGACCACAAGGCGCTACATAGGGTAGAGCGTACGGCCGAGTACATCACTGGGGCCAAGTTTCCTGCCATCCAGGACCTCTATACCAGGCGGTGCTAGAGGAAGGCCCTAAAAATTGTGAAACCCAAGTCATAGACTGTTCCCTCTGCTACCGCACGGCAAGTGGTACTGGAGTGCCAAGTCTAGGTCCAAAAGGCTCCTTAACAGTTTCTACCCCCAAGCCATAAGACTGCTGAACAGTTAATCAAATGGCTACCGGGACTATTTGCATTGCCCCCCCCCCCCCCCTTTTTTTTTTTTACACTGGTTCTACTCACTGTTTATTATCTATGCATAGTCACTTTACCCCTACCAACATGTATACTGGACATACTGCCAAATTCTCTGAAACGACGTTGGAGGCACCTTATGGTAGAGAAATGAACATTCAATTTTCTGTCAACAGCTCTGGTGGACATTCCTGCAGTCAGCATGCCAATTGCACACTCCCTCAAAACTTGAGACATCTGTGGCATTGTGTTGTGACAACTGCACATTTTAAAGTGGCCTTTTATTGTCCCCAGCACAAGGTGCACCTGTGTAATGATCATGCTGTTTAATCAGCTTCTTGTTATGACACACCTATCTTGGCTAACGAGAAATGCTCACTAACAGAGATGTAAACACATTTCTGCACAACATTTGAGAGAAATAAGCTTTTTGTGCGTATGGAACATTTCTCAGATGTTTTATTTCAGCTCATGAAACATGGGACCAACACTTTACATGTTACGTTTATATTTTTGTTCAGTGTACATATGACCTCAGTTACCTCGACTAACCCGTACCCCCCCACACATTGACTCGGGTACCCCCACACATTGACTCGGTACCGGTACCCTGTGTATATAGCCTCGTTATTGTTATTTTATTGTTACCTTTTTTACTTTATTTATAAAATATTTTCTTACTCTGCATTGTTGTTGGCTTGTAAGTAAGCATTTCACGGTAAGGTCTACACCTGTTGTATTCGGCACATGTGACATAACATTTGATTTGATCTAACAGCGAGGAGGAACTATTAAAACGGACGTTACACGCGGCTGAGATGTTTCAAAATATTGCATGCATATGAATCTCTTGCGATCTGGATATTGCACATGTCAATATTGCGATTTTGATGTGAATTTGATTAATTGTGCAGCCCTGGTATATAAGTATTTTTTTTGCAAGTACAACAATTAGCAGGGAAACGTGTGGGCCTGTGTGACTGTTTCTAAGGTGCCTGACTGTGCTGAGCTCTCTACAGCAGACAAATGTGTGGCCTGGCCTGAGAGAGGCTGTCACATCCATCACTGTATTGACAGGTGGACACATGCAGCAGGAAAAATGAGGACAAGGGTCAAATATAGGAAGGGTGTCCCAAGGTTTAACTCCCGTTATGTAACACACCCTCTACTTGTGCTTCAAACTCATTAAAAAGCAATTATTGAAGTTTAGAGTGAAAGAAGACTAAATGTTAAATAATAGATCAGCTGTTGTAGTGCACCCTACTCCCAACACTTACAACTGACAACGAATTCAGGGCAGCATTTTCTTATAATTGTTTTCACAAGTTACAAAAAAGAAAGAAAAAATATTGTTTTTATTTTAAAAGTAACTCCATTACTTTTACTCTTGAGTACTTTTTAAATGAGCTACTTTTTACATAAAAAAATGTTGTTAAAGTAACAGTACTTCTACTTGAGTAAGATATTTCAGTACTCTTTCCATCCCTTTCTAGGGACTGCATTTCATCACCATTATATTGTGTGCATGCTGGTGATAGACCTGCCCATGTGTCCCTATTGACATGTTATGTGTCTACTATAACAGAGCATCACTGGAGGAGCGTCTGAAGCTGGAGGAACGTTCTGGAACAGTAAACGTGGCTGACACAGCTGTTGGCAGCAAACAGCTCACCTTCACCCTCAAGAAGGTATGTCATGATGACACCATTACATAATAAGCCACTGAAAGGGACAACAAATGTGTGATTTGTGTGCAACATATGCTATCTCCATGTCTTTTCAAATGGAGCCCTCTTTTATCCGAAGTCCTTTTCGCATTTCTTCTCGCTTTTAGTCCATTCAGTCAGAATAATTCATGAGGAACATGACCTTGTGTGTGGGTGACTGTGGGTTGGTAAGGTCAACTTTCCCTTTGACTACTAACTACTGATCTGGATTTCTGATGATCCTCGGTTCAGTAACAGTAACAAAGAGAGCCTGTCATTGACATTTTACAGTGCCTTCAAAAAGTATTCATACCCCTTGAGTTATTCCACATTTTGTTGTGTTACAGCCTGAATTCAAAATGGATTAAAATATTATTTTTTTCTCACCTATCTACACACAATACCCCATAATGCAGGGTTTCCCAAACTCGGACCTCAGGACCCCAAGGGGTGCATGTTTTGGTTTTTGCCCTAGCACTACACAGCTGATTAAAATAATAAACTAATCATCCAGCTTTGATAATTTGAATTAGATGTGTTAACACTTTTTCATGATTCCATGTGTTATTTCATAGTTTTGATGTCTTCACTATTATTCTACAATGTAGAAAATAGTAAAAATAAAGAAAAACCCTGGAATGAATAGGTGTGTCCAAACTTTTGACTGCTACTGTATGTAAATTAGATATTTCTGTATTTCATTTTCAAGAAATTTGCAAAAATGTCTAAAAACATGTTTTATTTTCCACTAACCCTACCACCCCTCCCCTAATTGGAGTAAACTAATAAACAACAACACTTAGGCTTCCACTTCCAGCTTATACATACTATATACATTTTACGGAAACAATCTATTTTACAATAGTTATCATTTTGTTGGTTTTTACTCCTGTCCTTCCTCTACCCTCAAACCTCCCATCTATTTCTGATGTCCATCCAGTTTGATTTCTATTTGCCATTTATTTTTAACTGTGCTGTTTCACAAAGGTTCTGAACCTATATACATTTTACGGACACAGTATATTTTACATTAGTTATCTTGTTGTTATTAGGCCCACCCTTCAGCTCCACTCAACCTCTCCCATCTATCTCTTAACACCATCCATATTGGATTTCTATTTGCCATATATTTTTCAACTGTGCTGTTTTACAAAACTTAAGAACCTTTCTATTCTCCTAGTTTCTACAGATTGTAAATTAAAGATAAACATTTTTACTAAAAGTATTATTATGTTATTGATCGATTGACTATGACTTTTCAGATCACCCAGTAGTGCTATCTGCAGAGTTAGCTCCAGGTAAATGTTGCAATTCTTCAGCCATTCCTGGACCTGCAACCAAAAACAAGCTACATATGGACAGTACCAAAACAAATGATCTAATGATTATTTCTCTTTGCAGCAAAATCTGCAGAGCTGGGATGGTTGTATCCCCCATATATAAAACATTCTATTGGTTGTAAGAATTTTGTATAATAATTTAAATTGAAAAATTATACGTTTTGAATCCGGCGTCGTTTTGCGTATCAGTTCATAAACCATGTGCCGTGGAATCGGTACATCGAAAATCTCTTCCCAACTATTTTGCAATCTAAATGGCACAGCTGTCCATTTTTTGTTCCTTAAATTAAACTGGTATACTTTTTTATTCATCACAATTTTCTTTAACCAATTTTGGTCTTTAATGCAGAGCTGACAGACAAGTTCCTTACTTTTTCACCCTTCCACTTGCCTCTTCCATTTTTGCGGTAATGCTGCTATTAGTTGGTTGTAAATTTGGGTAGAGCAGACATTTCCATACATTTCCATATATTTTTAGGTGCCCTACTTTGCAAGGCATTGGACAACCTCCCTGGTCTTTGAGGTTAAATCTGTGTTTGAAATTCACTGCTCGACTGAACGACCCTACAGATAATTGTATGTGTTGGGTACAAAGATGAGGTAGTCATTCAAAAATCATGTTAAACACTATTATTGCACACCGAGTGAGTCCATGCAACTTATGTGACTTAAGCACATTTTTACTCCTGAACTTATTTAGGCTTGCCACAACAAAGTGGTTGAATACTTATTAGCTCAGGACATTTCAGCTTTTCATTTTTTATGAATTATTCCACTTTTCCAGTGACACAATCTAAATGTAATCAATTTTAAATTCAGTCTGTAACACAACAAAATGTGGAAAAAGTCAAGGGGTATGAATACCTTCTGAAGCTACTGTATCTCCATCAGTCTGTGTGTTTTCCCAAACATACACATTTACACACAATACGAAAGTACAGGTTAAGGTTGACACTGCAATGTAGCCACTGTGTATAATCTATAATGGTGCCTGCAGAAGAGAACCAATGTCACAGAAAATGCCATGTTTTGATCATGGCCATCTTTTTGACTTTGAATTTTTATAAACACACTCACGTGACTGACTCTTGTATCAGCACCCTTCGAAACTTGCTTCAATTATCACTGCGTTGCATGGACATTGCAGGTTTTCAAAACAATACCATTTGTTTTGCATGAGACGCTGGTGGTGCAAGGCCAAGCTAGGTTTAGCCAAGGCTCCCTCACATGCATAGAGACTGAGTCTGTCTTCTGGGTAAATCCCTTGTACTACAGCATGAGCTGGAGGTATATGTTGATAGCAGGTCTGATAAGAGAAAGGTATAATTGTTTTGCAGAAGATCGCTTAAAGATGTACTATGCAGAAATCGCTCTGCCATTTCCTGGTTGTTAAAATTGTAATAGTTCGCCTAATTTCAGTTTGTGACAAAACAAGCAAGTACAGTGGCTTGTGAAAATATTCACCCCCCTTGGCATTTTTCCTTTTTGTTGCCTTACAACCTGGAATTAAAATATTTTTTGGGGGGATTTGTATCATTTGATTTACACATGCCTACCATTTTGAAGATGCAAAATATTTTTTATTTTTGAAACAAACAAGAAATAAGACCAAAAAGCAGCAAACTTGAGCGTGCATAACTATTCACCCCCCCCCCCCAAGTCAATACTTTGTAGAGCCACCTTTTGCAGCAATTACAGCTGCAAGTCTCTTGGGGTATGTCTCTATAAGCTTGGCAGATCTAGCCACTGGGAGTTTTTCCCATTCTTCAATGCAAAACTGCTCCAGCTCCTTCAAGTTGGATGGGTTCTGCTGGTGTACAGCAATCTTTTAAGTCATACCACAGATTCTCAATTGGATTGAGGTCTGGGCTTTGACTAGGCCATTCCAAGACATTTAAATGTTTCCCCTTAAACCACTCAAGTGTTGCTTTAGCAGTATGCTTAGGGTCATTGTCCTGCTAGAAGGTGAACCTCCGTCCCAGTCTCAGATCTCTGGAAGACTGAAACCGGTTTCCCTCAAGAATTTCTGTGTATTTAGCGCCATCCATCATTCCTTCAATTCTGACCAGTTTCCCAGTCCCTGCCGATGAAAAACATCCCCACAGCATGATGCTGCCACCACCATGCTTCACTGTGGGGATGGTGTTCTCGGGGTGATGAGAGGTGTTGGGTTTGCGGCAGACATAGCGTTATCCTCGATGGCCAAAAAGCTCAATTTTTGTCTCATCTGACCAGAGTACCTTCTTCCATATGTTTGGGGAGTCTCCAACATGCCTTTTAGCGAACACCAAACGTGTTTGCTTATTTATTTCTTTACGCAATGGCTTTTTTCTGGCCACTCTTCCGTAAAGCCCAGCTCTGTGGAGTGTACGGCTTAAAGTTGTCCTATGGACAGATACTCCAATCTCCGCTGTGGAGCTTTACATCTCCTTCAGGGTTATCTTTGGTCTCTTTGTTGCCTCTCTGATTAATGCCCTCCTTGCCTGGTCCGTGAGTTTTGGTGGGCGGCTCTCTCTTGGCAGTTGCTGTGGTGCCATATTTTTTTTGACATTTTAATAATGTATTTAATGGCGCTCCGTGGGATGTTCAACGTTTCTGATATTTTTTTATAACCCAACCCTGATCTGTACTTCTCCACAACTTTGTCCCTGACCTGTTTGGAGAGCTCCTTGGTCTTCATGGTGCCGCTTGCTTGGTGGTGCCCCTTGGTTAGTGGTGTTGCAGACTCTGGGGCCTTTCAGAACAGGTGTGCATATATACTGAGATCATGTGACAGATCATGTGACACTTAGATTGCACACAGGTGGACTTTATTTAACTAATTATGTGACTTCTGAAGGTAATTGGTTGCACCAGATCTTATTTAGGGGCTTCTTAGCAAAGGGGGTGAATATTTATTTTGTATACGTTTTTTTTTTCATTTCACTTCATCAATTTGGACTATTTTGTGTATGTCCATTACATGAAATCGCCCCAAAAATCAATTTAAATTACAGGTTGTAATGCAAAAGATATTGTAAAAACGCCAAGGGGGATGAATACTTTTGCAAGGCACTATACAGTGTAGAGAATCATTGTACCATCTACAGGGCAGCCAACTTTTGAAGAAAGCTTAGAGTTAGATTTGCTACAGTTGAAGTCGGAGGTTTACATACACCTTAGCCAAATACATTTAAACTCAGTTTTTCACAATTCCTGACATTTAATCCTAGTAAATATTCCCTGTCTTAGGTCAGTTAGGATCACCACATTATTTTAAGAATGTGAAATGTCAGAATAATAATAGAGAGAATGATTTATTTCAGCTTTTATTTCTTTCATCACATTCCAAGTGGGTCAGAAGTTTACATACACTCAATTAGTATTTGGTAGCATTGCCTTTAAATTGTTTAACATTTTTTACATTTACATTTTAGTCATTTAGCAGACGCTCTTATCCAGAGCGACTTACAGTTAGTGAATACATATTTTTTTTATACTTGCCCCCCGTGGGAATCGAACCCACAACCCTGGCGTTGCAAACACCATGCTCTATCAACTGAGCTACATCCCTGCCGGCCATTCCCTCCCCTACCCTGGATGACGCTGGGCCAATTGTGAGTCTCCCGGTCGCGGCCGGCTGCGACAGAGCCTGGATTCGAACCAGGATCTCTAGTGGCACAGTTAGCACTGCGATGCAGTGCCTTAGACCACTGCGCCACTCAGGAGTATGGGTCAAACGTTTCGGTAGCCTTCCACAAGCTTCCCACAATAAGTTGGGTGAATTTTGGCCCATTCCTCCTGACAGAGCTGGTGTAACAGTCAGGTATGTAGGCCTCCTTGCTCGCACACGCCTTTTCAGTTCTGCCCACACAGTTTCTATAGGATTGAGGTCAGGGCTTTGTGATGGCCACTCCAATATCTTGACTTTGTTGTCCTTAAGCCATTTTGCCACAACTTTGGAAGTTTGCTTGGGGTCATTGTCCATTTGGAAGACCCATTTGCAACCAAGCTTTAACTTCCTGACTGATGTCTTGAGATGTTGCTTCAATATATCTACATAATTTTCCTTCCTCATGATGCCATCTATTTTGTGAAGTGCACCAGTCCCTCCTGCAGCAAAGCACCCCCACAGCATAATGCTGCCACCCCCGTGCTTCACGGTTGGGATGGTGTTCTCTGGCTTGCAAGACCCCCTTTTTCCTCCAAACATTACGATGGTCATTATGGCCAAACAGTTCTATTTTTGTTTCATCAGACCAGAGGACATTTCTCCAAAAAGTACGATCTTTGTCCCCATGTGCAGTTACAAACCATAGTCTGGCTTTTTTATGGCGGTTTTGGAGCAGTGGCTTCTTCCTTGCTGAGCGGCCTTTCAGGTTATGTCGATATAGGACTTGTTTTACAGTGGATATAGATACTTTTGTACCTGTTTCCTCCAGCATCTTCACAAGGTCCTTTGCTATTGTTCTGGGATTGATTTGCACTTTTCGCACCAAAGTACGTTCATCTCTAGGAGACAGAATGCGTCTCCTTCCTGAGCAGTATGACGGCTGTGTGGTCCCATGGTGTTTATACTTGCATACTATTGTTTGTACAGATGAACGTGGTACCTTCAGGCGTTTGGAAATTGCTCCCAAGGATGAACCAGACTTGTGGAGGTCTACAAATGTTTTTCTGAGATGTGCTGGCTTGGCTGATTTTTCTTTTGATTTTTCCCATGATGTCAAGCAAAGAGGCACTGAGTTTGAAGGTAGTCCTTGAAATACATCCACAGGTACACCTCCAATTGACTCAAATTAAGTCAATTAGCCTATCAGAAGCTTATAAAGCATGACATCATTTTCTGGAATTTTCCAAGCTGTTTAAAGGCACAGTCAACGTAGTGCATGTAAACTTCTGACCCACTGGAATTGTGATAACCGGCTTGCCAAAACTATAGTTTGTTAACAAGAAATGTGTGGAGTGGTTGAAAAACTAGTTTTAATGACTCCAACCTAAGTGTATGTGAACTTCCGACTTCAACTGTATGTGAATTTCATCGGCCCCTGACACAATCCCTAGACGGGGGATTGGGGGTCCTCCCCCAGGAAAATTTGACTGTTTTAAAGCTCATTTCCTGCATTTCTACCTATTTTTACATGGCTTAGGCCTATGACCAGGGTGGAACATTTGGTGTATTCAGGATTACATTTACAATTTAGTCATTTAGCAGACACTCTTATTCAGAGTGCATACATTTCTTTCTTTTTTTAAATTCTTTTTTTTTTATACTGGCCCCCCATGGGAATCGAACCCACAACCCTGGTGTTGCAAACACCATGCTCTACCAACTGAGCTACATCCCTGCCGGCCATTCCCTCCCCTACCCTGGACGACGCTGGGCCAATTGTGCGCCGCCCCTTGGGTCTCCCGGTCAGGACGGCTGCAACAGAGCCTGGATTCGAACCAGGATCTCTAGTGGCACAGCTAGCACTGCGATGCAGTGCCTTAGACCACTGCGCCACTCGGATGCTTTGAACATTAAATGAACACTCAAAATTCGACGCCTTTGTTACTTTGCGATTTTTGGGGGATGAAATGTAAATATGCTAATATTTGTTCTAACATATTTTTTAGGTGGTTTGACACTTTATTCGGACAGTAATGAAATGAGATTGGGAGACAGGCAAATACTAGAGTGGGAAGGTTGGAAGCAGGGATTGATCCCTGTTCTTGGGTGGAAAGTTGTATGCGACACGTGCCGGGGATTGTTACCACTATTAATATTAATGGTTGATGGCAGTGGGTAAATCATAGATTGCAGTCACCAAACCTTCAAGAAAAATGTAATATTCAGGTGGTTTATGCCTACTAGTTGAAGATCCTTGCCATCCTCTTACTCTACATAGCCAAACATGATGTGTTTATGAGTTGAGTCCCCCTACCATCTCTGCCTAGCATGTGCACAATACTAAAATGTCCCCAAAAATATTTGATTCCTGGAGCATTTAATACCCAATGCTTATTTGTATGACAAAACTGTCCATGAATGGCTGCAAATACATAGCCTCATATAATTCATTTTCAAAGACACAAGTAGGCATATCAAATTTCAAATATGTGATTACACTGGTAAAATTGGGAAGAAGTGGAATAATAAAATAAGTGTGGGGAATAACAGTAGTGTTCTTGCTGACAAGCTCAGTAATTACCCTATATTTTAGCCCATTGTTAAGAATGAGAATTGTTCCACTGAACAGACTAAATAAAGTAAATAGCTAATCTACTGAAGACAAGATTACATAAATCTGCCCCTACACTCTACCCAAATGTATTTTTATATTTATTGTCCCCACTCTAGAATTAAACTTACACTTTTGGGTTCACAATCTGTTTGACAAAATTATTTTCATAGTTACACATCAGGTCACCCTACCAAACTTCCCTGCTAAAACATACTGTCTGCTGACTTTTCGTTGTCACAGCCTAAATGCCAATCACCAAACAAGGGGACTAATGCTAGTGTGGATTAAATCGACTTTAGTACATGCTGTCAAAAGGCTGCATTCTGAAATAGGTACGGGAGTAACAGCAAACTGATTTTGTTGACAACATTGTACATAAAACAGCACTGCCGTGCTGCTCATTTTTACAGTTTTATAAACTCAGCGGAGACCATTCTCTCTCCATTCACCTCCACTCTAATCTTGAGGGGCATTTCTTTATAACATGCATCCAATCCCCTTGATCCTTTACATAACTAGACCAATCATATGCTTCAATGTGCCGCGGTAAAATAGGGTGATGATAGAGATTCCACTCGTGATGTTAAATTTCAGGCGCAGATGCTCAGATTTCAAAATGATTTGGAACACAGTTGAAAAATGAAAGTAGTACTTTTCAGTGCGTGAGATATGAGGTGTGCCGTGAGAGTGTGAGATGAGGGTCAAATGCGTGTCTCACGGCCAATGCATGAGAGTTGGCAGCTCTGCATCTAAACTGGTATGAAATATATTTTCCATAACCAAAAATATTGTATTTTCAGCTGTTTGAAGCTGGTGTATAAACCCAAAGTAAAAGACGCAAAAACAAAACGTAAGAGCGGCAATCATAGAAATAGCGCACAACCGATCTACTGCTTCTTAGACTTGCTTTCAATGCGAATGACAGATCTATAACACACATTTCTATGTGAATTTGGTCAGGTCGCCCAAAAAGTTACATATTGCAACTTTAATCATACTCTAGTTAAAAGTATCTCTCTCCTTTCTCTCTCTGCCTCTCCTTTCTCAATTGTTTTCTTCAGTCGGAGCAGCAACAGCGGCAGCAGCAGGCGGAGCGTGATCACCACGAGGAGAGGAAGAAGCTGAGGAGGTCTGCAGGACACCTGTCGAGTGAGAGAGGCAGGGGTAGAGGTAGAGGCGGATTTAGAGGGAGGGGCGGGAGTAGAGGGAGGGGCGGGAGTAGAGGCAGAGGAGGGAGTAGAGGCAGGGGGCACTACTGAGGTAGAGGCAGGGGTAGCTGAACTACTCTCAGGGACAATACTGAGATGAAGTAGCCCAAAGTCAAATGAGTCATGTCTTTTGTACAGCTACTCACAGCCATTTCCCAACCTAATTTATAATAGAATGAAACTTTGTTACCGTCTGGGAATCAAGAGTTTGTGATACAAAAGTGACCTGACCGATTGTGACCTGCCCTATAACTCAGTTATGAAGATATGTTGGTGGAGCTGCTATGAAAGGATACAATGTGTATTATCTATTGCGTGCAAAATGGTGTGATTGTGTGGTGTATGCAGTTTGTGCATGCGCGTATTTGTGTCCGTTTGTGTGTCCGTGAGAAGCTCCTGACCTTCACTGTCTTCTTTTTCACTTCACAATCCTCATTTTCCTCTAGTGCAGACAAAACACATCTGTATTATGCGCTGTGCCTGACCCATAAACTCTTTCTACTAAACTTATATCTCCCTGGTCTGTGTTATGTTCTTATAGTAGCCTCATGGTCGCTGGAAGCAGCTATCCAAAAATAAGTCCAACAATTGGACACACTGAGTCACTGACTCGTTCCATTCTCCGAAGAGATGCATGCATCTCTAAATTAATTACAGGTGAAGCCTCAGTTGTATGGGTAAAGTAATTGTTTTTATAAACTGACATACCATTTATAAGGATTAGCACCCAATAATGAATGTCTGTCCACTTGCATGACCAACAACTCTGAAAGGCTTCACAAACCTCTTTTACTTCCTTGGTATGACATAACACTTTCTGTGGATATCAAACGGCCACCATTTCACTCCAGTCCAGAAAGATGGAAAAAGAAAGGAGGGAAGAGAAAACAAAGAGGTGAAGAAAAGTCCTGGGAACATGGATCCCCAATTCTTGGAAGCAGCTTTCTCAGTTTGGCCTCCCATTCACACATGGCTGGGCCCTCCTGTCTCCTTTAATCCTGCCCTGGCCCTTTTGAAATGGCATGAGGTGCCGTCCAATTCACCCCGACCCACTCCCTAAAACACTGCTGCCTGGGACCCCAAATCATGATGCTTTAGGCCAGGGGTGTCAAACTCATTTTGCCATGCTCATTTGACTTTGCCCAAATTATCGCGAGTGGAGTATGACATACAAATGTAATCCAAAGATTATAGGATGTCTAAAGAAAGTTAAAGCTGTTCATTCTAGTTTCCATTGTTGGTTGCTGCAGAGTGGGATGCATAACAAAGAAAGGATAACAGTGCATTTACTAAAATGTCCAAGTTATGCAAGCATATCTCAAGATTCAATGGTATGATTCAAAAGGAAGGCCTTGACCATACCACTAGTCATGTGTGTAGTAAACTGTGAGAAATAGAGGGCAGTCGGAGACTATATGGCAGGGCTATCCAACCCTGTTCCTGGAGAGCTACTGTCCTGTAGGTTTTCACGCCAATTCTAATCTAGCACACCTGATTCTAATAATTAGCTGGTTGATCAGGCTGAATCAGGTTAGTTACAACTGGGGTTGGAGTGAAAACCTACAGGAAGATAGCTCTCCAGGAACAGGGTTAGATAGAAATAAGGAGGGATCTTGAGTGTTTCTTATTGTGTTTGGGAAGAAAAGAGGGAAAGAAAGTGAGAGTGAGAGGGTGACTGCGTGTCACCACCAGTCATACAGTGCCTTGCAAAAGTATTCATCCCCCTTGGCATTTTTCCTATGTTGTTGCATTACAACCTGTAATTTAAATGGATTTTTATTTGGATTTTTAATGTATTGGACATACAAAAATAGTCCAAATTGGTGAAGTGAAATTAAAAAATAACTTGTTTCAAGAAATTCTAAAAAATAAATAATGGAAAAGTGGTGCGTGCATATGTATTCACCCCCTTCGCTATGAAGCCCCTAAATAAGATCTGGTGCAACCAATTACCTTCAGAAGTCACATAATTAGTTAAATAAAGTAAATATGTGTGCAATCTAAGTGTCACATGATCTCAGTATATATGCACCTGTTCTGAAAGGCCCCAGAGTCTGCAACACCACTAAGCAAGGGGCACCACCAAGCAAGCGGCACCATGAAGACCAAGGAGCCCTCCAAACAGGTCAGGGACAAAGTTGTGGAGAAGTACTGATCAGGGTTGGGTTATAAAAAAATGTCTGAAACTTTGAACATCCCACAGAGCACCATTTAAATCCATTATTTAAAAATGGAAAGAATATGGCACCACAACAAACCTGCCAAGAGAGGGCCGCCCACCAAAACTCACGGACCAGGCAAGGAGGGCATTAATCAGAGAGGCAACAAAGAGACCAAAGATAACCCTGAAGGAGCTGCAAAGCCAAAAGGCATGTGGGAGACTCCCCAAACATATGGAAGAAGGTACTCTGGTCAGATGAGACTAAAATTGAGCTTTTTGGCAATCAAGGAAAACGCTATGTCTGGCGCAAACCCAACACCTCTCATCACCCAGAGAACACCATCCCCACAGTGAAGCATGGTGGTGGCAGCATCATGCTGTGGGGATGTTTTTCATCGGCAGGGACTGGGAAACTAGTCAGAATTGAAGGAATGATGGATGGCGCTAAATACAGGGAAATTCTTGAGGGAAACTTGTTTCAGTCTTCCAGAGATCTGAGACTGGGACGGAGGTTCACCTTCTAGCAGGACAATGACCCTAAGCATACTGCTAAAGCAACACTTGAGTGGTTTAAGGGGAAACATTTAATGTATTGGAATGGCCTAGCCAAGCCCAGACCTCAATCCAATTGGAATCTGTGGTATGGACTTAAAGATTGCTGTACACCAGCGGAACCCATCAACTTGAAGGAGCTGGAGCAGTTTTGCCTTAAAGAATGGGCAAAAATCCAGTGGCTATACAGTGTGGAAAAAAAGTATTTAGTCAGCCACCAATTGTGCAAGTTCTCCCACTTAAAAAGATGAGAGAGGCCTGTAATTTTCATCATATGTACACGTCATCTATGACAGACAAAATTAGAAAAAAAATCCAGAAAATCACATTGTAGGATTTTTTATGACTTTATATGCAAATTATGGTGGAAAATAAGTATTTGGTCAATAACAAAAGTTTCTCAATACTTTGTTATATACCCTTTGTTGGCAATGACACAGGTCAAACGTTTCTGTAAGTCTTCACAAGGTTTTCACTCACTGTTGCTGGAATTTTGGCCCATTCCTCCATGCAGATCTTCTCTAGAGCAGTGATGTTTTGGGGCTGGTCGCTGGGCAACACGGACTTTCAACTCCCTCCAAAGATTTTCTATGGGGTTGAGATCTGGAGACTGGCTAGGCCACTCCAGGACCTTGAAATGCTTCTTACGAAGCCACTCCTTCGTTACCCGGGCGGTGTGTTTGGGATCATTGTCATGCTGAAAGACCCAGCCACGTTTCATCTTCAATGCCCTTGCTGATGGAAGGAGGTTTTCACTCAAAATCTCACGATACATGGCCCCATTTATTCTTTCCTTTACACGGATCAGTCGTCCTGGTCCCTTTGCAGAAAAACAGCACCAAAGCATGATGTTTCCATCCCCATGCTTCACAGTAGGTATGGTGTTTTTTGGATGCAACTCAGCATTCTTTGTCCTCCAAACACGACGAGTTGAGTTTTTTACCAAAAAGTTCTATTTTGGTTTCATCTGACCATATGACATTCTCCCAATCCTCTTCTGGATCATCCAAATGCACTCTAGCAAACTTCAGACGGGCCTGGACATGAACTGGCTTAAGCAGGGGGACACGTCTGGCACTGCAGGATTTGAGTCCCTGGCGGCGTAGTGTGTTACTGATGGTAGGCTTTGTTACTTTGGTCCCAGCTCTCTGCAGGTCATTCACTAGGTCCCCCCGTGTGGTTCTGGGATTTTTGCTCACCGTTCTTGTGATCATTTTGACCCCACAGGGTGAGATCTTGCGTGGAGCCCCAGATCGAGGGAGATTATCAGCGGTCTTGTATGTCTTCCATTTCCTAATAATTGCTCCCACAGTTGATTTCTTTAAATCAAGCTGCTTACCTATTGCAGATTCAGTCTTCCCAGCCTGGTGCAGGTCTACAATTTTGTTTCTGGTGTCCTTTGACAGCTCTTTGGTCTTGGCCATAGTGGAGTTTGGAGTGTGACTGTTTGAGGTTGTGGACAGGTGTCTTTTATACTGATAACAAGTTCAAACAGGTGCCATTAATACAGGTAACGAGTGGAGGACAGAGGAGCCTCTTAAAGAAGAAGTTACAGGTCTGTGAGAGCCAGAAATCTTGCTTGTTTGTAGGTGACCAAATACTTATTTTTCACCATAATTTGCAAATAAATTCATAAAAAATCCTACAATGTGATTTTCTGGATTATTTTTTCTCCATTTGTCTGTCATAGTTGACGTGTACCTATGATGAAAATTACAGGCCTCTCTCATCTTTTTAAGTGGGAGAACTTGCACAATTGGTGGCTGACTAAATACTTTTTTTCCCCACTGTATGTGCCAAGTTTATACAGACATACCCCAAGAGACTTGCAGCTGTAATTCTGCAAAAGGTGGTTCTACAAAGTACTGACTTTGCGTGGGTGAATAGTTATGCACGCTCAAGTTTTCTGTTTTTCTGTCTTATTTCTTGTTTGTTTCAGAATAAAAAATATGTTGCCTCTTCGAAGTGGTAGGCATATTCTGGAAATCAAATGATACAAACCCCCCAAAAAATCAATTTTAATTCCAGGTTGTAAGGCAACAAAATAGGAAAAATGCCAAGGGGGGTGAATAGTTTCGCAAGCCACTGTACTACGTTAGAGGCTCATTCAAGCCATCAGCTGGGATGCTACAAAGTGAACTTTGGTTGTGTTTGTCATTTGATAACTTATCCTCGGACAGCAAACTACCGACTGATGGGGAATGGTTAGTCTATCTGTCTCAGGTCTGGAGTTTTTTAAATTTTGGACATCAAAAATTCCAATTTTTAAAAATTTTAATCACTTTTCCCCAAAATTCGAAAAAATAAAAAAGTGGTGCATTTAAACCTTGGCAGGAAAAAACTCCCAAAAAAACCTAGAAAAAAAGAAAAACATAGGGGGGGTTTTCCCCCCTTCGGCTTTCCGGGGGGTTTAAAGCCACCAAAGATGCAAAACCCAACAAGGACCAAGCAGGTCAATTAAAAATCCTCCCTTTAGCCAATATAAGAGTTGAAAACAGCGGTTGGTAAAAAAAGCGAATTTGACATAAGCCCATTAATCCATATTAAAGGAAAGAAATGGCAAAAAATCCCAAAGGCCGCACACCAAAATCACGGCACGGGGGCTTTCAGGGGGGAAGTCCCGAAGAGCTCAAAGCCAGGCCTGTGGAGCCCCCAATATTCTGGTCATGAGACTAAAAGAGCGGGTTGGCAATCAGGGAAAACGCTATGTCGGGCGCAAACCCAACCCTCCATCACCCAGAGAACACCATCCCAGTTAAAGCAGTTTGGGTGTCAGATCAGGTGTGGGGATGTTTTCATCGCGGGGGACGGGGAAAACTAGTCAGAATGAGGAATGATGGATGGCGCTAAATACAGGGAATTCTTGAGGGAAACCTTGTTTCAGGTCTTACCGCGATCAGATGGCACGGAGGTTCCCTTCTACAGGACAATGGCCCAAGAATCCGCTAAAGCAACCTTGAGAAGGGTTTAAGGGGAAACATTTAAATGGTTTGGAATGGCCCTAGTCAAAGCCCAGACCTCAATCCAATTGAGAATCTGTGGTATGACTTAAAGATTGCTGTACACCAGCGGAACCCATCCAACTTGAAGGAGCTGGAGCAGTTTTGCCTTAAAGAATGGGCAAAAATCCCAGTGGCTATACAGTGTGGAAAAAAAGTATTTAGTCAGCCACCAATTGTGCAAGTTCTCCCACTTAAAAAGATGAGAGAGGCCTGTAATTTTCATCATATGTACACGTCATCTATGACAGACAAAATTAGAAAAAAAATCCAGAAAATCACATTGTAGGATTTTTTATGACTTTATATGCAAATTATGGTGGAAAATAAGTATTTGGTCAATAACAAAAGTTTCTCAATACTTTGTTATATACCCTTTGTTGGCAATGACACAGGTCAAACGTTTGTCTGTAAGTCTTCACAAGGTTTTCACTCACTGTTGCTGGAATTTTGGCCCATTCCTCCATGCAGATCTTCTCTAGAGCAGTGATGTTTTGGGGCTGTCGCTGGGCAACACGGACTTTCAACTCCCTCCAAAGATTTTCTATGGGGTTGAGATCTGGAGACTGGCTAGGCCACTCCAGGACCTTGAAATGCTTCTTACGAAGCCACTCCTTCGTTACCCGGGCGGTGTGTTTGGGATCATTGTCATGCTGAAAGACCCAGCCACGTTTCATCTTCAATGCCCTTGCTGATGGAAGGAGGTTTTCACTCAAAATCTCACGATACATGGCCCCATTTATTCTTTCCTTTACACGGATCAGTCGTCCTGGTCCCTTTGCAGAAAAACAGCACCAAAGCATGATGTTTCCATCCCCATGCTTCACAGTAGGTATGGTGTTTTTTGGATGCAACTCAGCATTCTTTGTCCTCCAAACACGACGAGTTGAGTTTTTACCAAAAAGTTCTATTTTGGTTTCATCTGACCATATGACATTCTCCCAATCCTCTTCTGGATCATCCAAATGCACTCTAGCAAACTTCAGACGGGCCTGGACATGAACTGGCTTAAGCAGGGGGACACGTCTGGCACTGCAGGATTTGAGTCCCTGGCGGCGTAGTGTGTTACTGATGGTAGGCTTTGTTACTTTGGTCCCAGCTCTCTGCAGGTCATTCACTAGGTCCCCCCGTGTGGTTCTGGGATTTTTGCTCACCGTTCTTGTGATCATTTTGACCCCACAGGGTGAGATCTTGCGTGGAGCCCCAGATCGAGGGAGATGATCAGCGGTCTTGTATGTCTTCCATTTCCTAATAATTGCTCCCACAGTTGATTTCTTTAAATCAAGCTGCTTACCTATTGCAGATTCAGTCTTCCCAGCCTGGTGCAGGTCTACAATTTTGTTTCTGGTGTCCTTTGACAGCTCTTTGGTCTTGGCCATAGTGGAGTTTGGAGTGTGACTGTTTGAGGTTGTGGACAGGTGTCTTTTATACTGATAACAAGTTCAAACAGGTGCCATTAATACAGGTAACGAGTGGAGGACAGAGGAGCCTCTTAAAGAAGAAGTTACAGGTCTGTGAGAGCCAGAAATCTTGCTTGTTTGTAGGTGACCAAATACTTATTTTTCACCATAATTTGCAAATAAATTCATAAAAAATCCTACAATGTGATTTTCTGGATTATTTTTTCTCAATTTGTCTGTCATAGTTGACGTGTACCTATGATGAAAATTACAGGCCTCTCTCATCTTTTTAAGTGGGAGAACTTGCACAATTGGTGGCTGACTAAATACTTTTTTTCCCCACTGTATGTGCCAAGTTTATACAGACATACCCCAAGAGACTTGCAGCTGTAATTCTGCAAAAGGTGGTTCTACAAAGTACTGACTTTGCGTGGGTGAATAGTTATGCACGCTCAAGTTTTCTGTTTTTCTGTCTTATTTCTTGTTTGTTTCAGAATAAAAAATATGTTGCTTCTTCGAAGTGGTAGGCATATTCTGGAAATCAAATGATACAAACCCCCCAAAAAATCAATTTTAATTCCAGGTTGTAAGGCAACAAAATAGGAAAAATGCCAAGGGGGGTGAATAGTTTCGCAAGCCACTGTACTTACGTTAGAGGCTCATTCAAGCCATCAGCTGGGATGCTACAAAGTGAACTTTGGTTGTGTTTGTCATTTGATAACTTATCCTCGGACAGCAAACTACCGACTGATGTGGGAATGGTTAGTCTATCTGTCTCAGGTCTGGACAGCTGGTGACGCTTGTAGATTTTTGTCAGGGTCTTCTTTTTTGCTCTGCAAAACCATCACCATGGATACGCCAGATCTAGGCCACAGGAAGTGGGTCAGGTTAAGTTGGCACTTCCTCTAGCACGTCAATCTTTTTCCAAGAAATTACAAAGAAAGGAAAACGCCGGGGTAACCAATAGGATGCATTTCAGTTTAGGCTGTCTAAAATTTGCTCAGATCATTGCATTGAATTCCCCATGCTCCAATGAATTGAGATGCTTACTAACTCAAATGCTTTATTATGTAAACTAAGATCACAGTTGGGATGTAGCTCCTTGAATAAACCTTTAAAAGAGCTTCCAAAAAACTTGTGAAAGGTTGTTTCACCACAATCCCATCATTAGTGTATTGATTGATTGAGTCCCCAAATCATGATATTTATTCATCTTGAACTACCGCCACTGACTCATTCACGGCACAGCACAGCAAGACGAGCAGTAACTTACTCAGACCAGACATTAAGAGCTCTTCAATTTTGCATTGAGGCAACCAAAATGGGAATTTGGGTTGTCTCAAAGGCCAGGTCTGACCCAGTATGCACTGCTTCTGCGGGCCACAGCAGCCCAGACAAAAGGAGCCGAGGTGGGGCTGCTTTTACAGAGTAATCCCCTCCACTGTGTAATTGAATGGGCCGCCCTGAGAAGCAATCACACGCAAGTCACCATCTGAGCTCTGACGTGGGGTTAGGGAGGGGACCATGGCCTTACATGGGTTAGAGTGAAGAGCAGGGGCCAGGGGAGAGGGTGAATTCTAGGAAAAATATTTTTTAAATATTCTGACTGCTTTTTGACCCTGGGTAGTATTTTCCTCATCACTTGACCAATCTTTGTCAGTGCTTTCAAAGACAGGTCCTCAGGGGCATATGGAGACTTTAATTGGTTTAATGAGCAATCCAGGGTTCAAATGACAGGGGTGCTCTGGTGTTGCTTTCTTGGCAAGCCTGTGCCCTAGTAACATAATAGCAGTGACATTGTGTGGGAACATTGGGACTCCAAATAATTAACTGTGTAGCCTAATTATGCTGATACTGTACATGTGTGGACAAATCCCCATGGGGCCCGATTCTGACTTAGGAATTTATGCCTTTCCTATGCACGCCTTTCCTACACACTTCTCAGTATTTGGTATTAAGACTTACCTTAATCAGTCACATAACGTGCTCTGCAGGTGTGGCTACCTTGCGCACTCTGAATACATTTAATTCAACCACTGAAAACCCTCCCACTTGCTGGCCAACAGATTTTCTTGTGGAGTGTTCATTCATTAGGGTTTTCAGTACATTTATCTTAAGCCATCCCTTTAAATATAGTGTACCTTTTTTTATTTTTTATTTTGTCGACAGACTAGAATATATCAAGAGAACGGGTTCAGAATAGTAGGGATCAATGAAAGAAAGCCATCTAAATATATGTATATTCGTCTCCGTTTCAGCAGCAATTGATAGATTTGAAAATACTCTGATCTTGTAGATTATTTAGGTTTAGGAAAGTATTATATATATTTATGAATCATAAAAACAGGTTTGGAGAGCCTTTACACACGAAAGAAAGAAAACGGTGGTTTGATTAATTCCAAAAATTGCCACATTCAGTTCTTCAACCCATGATATGTTGGAATGTTGGAAGATGAGTGTACATAGAATTATAATGGGGAGAATAGTGTACAATAGTAGGCTATACCCTCGTCTATTGCCTGCACTAACCATGGAACTGTGTGATGACACGGCCAAGTACTGCGCCATGCGTCCGGTTCAAACTGTTACAGCTTGGTCTGCGCTCCGCTCCATAACGATTTAATTAGCCTACGCGGTTTTTTTTAATATTATGAACTGTTGCCTCACGGCCGTGACAGCATTTACAGAGGAAGCAAATGAAGGTAAACAAAACGATGTAATTAAATGGAATGATAATGTAGGCTATACCAATTGAAGGGAACTAACAGTAAATTGGCAGGAGAATGTGTGGTTATATGAGGCCTTCTGACGGTCGATACTGATAGTGGCTAATATTTAACATGATAAAAATAGGAAACAGAGAAAGTAGGGGTAGCCTATAATTAAGACATTTGAGGGTGCCCATCCCTGCAAGATAAAAGGCTGTACAATTTAAATTCTGCATAATGGCACAGCATTTCATAAACTTTACTGTGGGAAAGTTGATATGCTTCAGTTTGCTGCCATATGACTGGTTTCACATTTGTCTCCCGCGATTATAAGGTAAAATATATCTAAAACAAGTGTCATTTATGTCTACAATTCCCTTATCCAAATGCATTACTTATTTACCTAGCTCTTATCAATAGCTCTTATCAAGTTGTAAATTACAGTGCATGGAGAATGGTGTTATTTCTATCTGGGGAAAAAATAAAGTAGATGCTTTATCCACGTGGAACCGGTAGGTTCACTAGACCTTAATCATGGTTTCCTCGGGCGTAAAGGTGGTGGAATTATTAGGGAATGAAGTCAAGGTCTGAATACAGCGTATCTGTAGACACACCTTCATTTATTCGATCTCCACCCAAAAAGCACGCTATTCTCATGCTTAAATTCAAGGTCAGAATATGCATAGAGAAAAGTGCATAAAAAGGCAACTACGTTCCATTTACACAAGCTTAACTTGGGTCGGAATCGGGCGGGCCCCAAGTGAATGTCTTCCAAGACTTTAAAAACACAATTCATCAAGAGAGGGAGATGCTTTCAAATGCTTTTATGGAAGAAAACACTTACCCTTTCTTAATCTCTCTCTCTCGTCTCAACTCCTCCTCTTCCAGAATGATGGGTGGAGCAAAATGTGCTGATGCGGGGCATTTTTCCCTACTTTCCCACATGGCATGTGGATGGAGAGAATGATCTCACTGCTGTCTTGGCATCTCTCCTACCTCAGCTGCTGCCTTCCTCCCTCCATCGCAGCTAGAGGACCCAGACAGCTCGACCTTTATGAACCGTTAACAAGTCATAAAATATATCCCATGAAAAAAACACCATTGCTTTACGGCAAAGCTAATGCTGGATGACCCAGACTTGAAAGGTCCAGGGAGAGACTGCTTAGAGATGAAAGAATTGTGACGGTCAACCAGGGCAGGGATAAATGATGAGTTAGCAGAAAAGGCCTGGACAAGGCTTCCTTATGCAACTCATGACCCACTACAGTGGACTGAGTGGCATAGACTGGTATTAAAGGTTAAATATGTCCAGTCAAGTGTCACAAAATCCAACCTGACTGTTTCACTGTGACCTGGTTTTGTGATTCATCCTTTTTTAAACCAAGTTTTATTCTGAAAACAAATTCATGGATTACCCTCAGAATAAAACTTGGTTTAAACAAGGATGAACAACAAATGTGTCAAGAAGTGAAATTTGATTTCAGCTCCCCTCCACTCTTTTAAACAGTAAGATTTAAGGCTGAGGGTAGTTCTCATGGTGCATTTCATATATGCATATGTACATTGCAGATGCTATTAAGGTTTGTGTTCTGCCAAAGACTAGCGAGTTACTGGTGCAGCTCTGTACATTGTTCAGCATTAAGCAAATGTGTGTTAGTGCACTTTCAAAATGAATGTATTGCAATGAAACGGACAGTGAGTGCGGCTCGAACCCTCAACCTTCTGGCCCGAAGCCCAGCGGACCATCGACTGTGCCATAAAAGCATGCTGAAGTGGCAGAGTCGATATCCGTGCTTAAGAACACAGGGTCGCTACACAACTCCCTCCTTTCAAAGAGTGCGTCCTTGCGCTAGCCTTAACAGGATGACACCTTACAGGAATGCGCTCACTGGCCAAGCACATGCACTGTCTTGGATGCAAGGTCCGATAACTTCTGACACCAATGTAATGAAACGGACAGGGAGTGCGGCTCGAACACTCAACCTTTTGACCCGAACCCCAGCGGGCCTTCGACTGTGCCACAAAACCATACTCAAGTGGCAGAGTCGATATCCGAGCTTATAAACACAGGGTTGCTAGAGTATGTTGGTGTGTGAGGCTGCTTTCTAGGATTGAATTGGTACAGAGAGTTGTTGGTTGTTGAGCAAAGTCTTTATCAATCCCTGAAAGTGAAATCTATCACTTGGTATTTGTGACAGTCTGTCTAGACACATACTTTAGCTGGCATCCTTGGTGGCACAGATTGCATTCTGAACTATAGTCAGTACACTGCCGTGAGCTGCTTTGACAGTCACCCCATTGGTTCTCATGTTCTGGCATGACCCCAATGAGACTTGGCACAAGCGTTCAGGCAAGGATCACAGAGATTAAGGTCCCCCAAAACACAGTGGACTCCATCAGTCTTAAATGGAAGAAGTTTGGAACCACTAAGACTCTTCCTAGAGCTGGCCGCCCGGCAAAACTGAGCAATCGGGGGAGAAGGGCCTTGGTCAGGGAGGTGACCAAGAACTCGATGGTCACTCTGACAGAGCTCCAGAGAACCTTCCAGAAGGACAACCATCTCTGCAGCACTCCACCAATCAGACCTTTATGGTAAAGTGGCCAGACGGAAGCCACTCCTTAGTAAAAGACACATGACAGCCCTCTTGGAGTTTGCCAAAAGGCACCTAAAGACTCTCAGACCATGAGAAACAAGATTGTCTGGTCTGATGAAACCAAGATTGAACTCTTTGGCCAGAATGCCAAGGGTCACGTCTGGAGGAAACCTGGCACCATCCCTACGGTGAAGCATGGTGGTGGCAGCATCATGCTGTGGGGATGTTTTTCAGAGGCAGGGACTGGGAGACTAGTCAGGTTCGAGGGAAAGATGAACGGAGCAAAGTACAGAGAGATCCTTGATGAAAACCTGCTCCAGAGCACTCAGGACCTCAGACTGGGGCAAAGGTTCACCTTCCAACAGGACACCAACCCTAAGCACACAGCCAAGACAACGCAGGAGTGACTTCGGGACAAGTCTCTGAATATCCTTGAGTGGTCCAGAGACCTGAAAATAACTGTGCTGCAACACTCCCTATCCAACCTGACAGAGCTTGAGAGGATATGTAGAGAAGAATGGGAGAAACTCCCCAAATACAGATGTGCCAAGTGTCATGACTCTCCTGACAGTGGATCAAAGGACCCATCAGCTAGCTAAAAACTCTTACGACAATAAAAGTGGACAAATGTTTGGAATGATCAGTGGGGATCTAAAGAATAATCATGTCATATTGTTTATTATTTTGTGATGTTATTAAAAACTGTATGAACCAAATACTGTAACTTAGGAAGGATACCCCCTTTATCTGTCAAGTTTCCCTCCAATACGTTGTCTATGTGATATGAAAATGGATGAAACTAGTTTTGTTAAGATAGGAATGTGATTTTAGGAGGCATAAGAGATCACTTCTAATCATATCCTTTGCACAGTAATTAGCCACACCCCAAGTGCCATCAGAGATTGTGTCAGCAAGTAGGAACGCCTCTTTTACCAAGAGGGCATAAAGCAGGGGTATTCAACAAAATTTAAAAAAGGTCCAGTTAGAGAAAATGTTTTGAAGCAAAGGTCCAGAAGATCATAATGTCTAACAATTTAGTGGTATATATATTTAAGTAGCCTAGTAGTTCTGAATGTAATCAATAACTGACCGTCTAATCAAATTAATTCAGTACAATTCAAAAACTTGTTGACAATATTTATTATCACGAAACATAGAACTGAACATTAGGGTTGTCCTCGACTAAAGAAATTCTTAGTCGACTAACACTTATATGAGTTTGTCGACTAATCGATTAGTTGATTTAATCGACAGAGCTGTGCAAGACTAGAAAAGCGCAATATAAATGTAGTTAATTAACCATCTGTAAAACTGAGTTTCTCCGAAATTAATCCTGCAAAAGCACCACTTTAAATCTCGTGTTCACCAGAAATGTTCTCATAAGTTACTTGGAAATGAGTAATTAAGCATGAATAAGCATAAAAAATGACTTATCGACTAAAGAAATCTTTAGTCGACTAAGACCAAAACGACCGATTAGTCGACTAATCGACTAAGAGGGGCAGCCCTACTGAACATATATGTATGACTGTAGATATGTACAATGTGCTCTCATTAATTAACTAAATAAAACTAGGGCTGCATGTCAAAATAAGAGAAAATAAATAAAATGTGAAAATTGTGCATTTTCAAAAAAAGTGCTTAACTTCAGAAAAATAATATAAAGGGAGGAAAAGTTTTAATTTCCCCTTTTCTGTTTCACATCTTGACTCAACAGTCTCAACCAATTTTACAAATAATAAATCTCAACAGATCTTAACAATTGAACAGTTTTAGAGTATCACTTTCTTCCCCTCATATCCCACTCCACCATGTTTTTGCTCAGTGAGAGAATTGAGCTTTAGCCTGTCTTGCCAGAATTTTAAACCTGGGCTTGAATGGAGTCAGGGCCATTCTCATACACATGTGAAGGTGCTCATTGGTGAGCCTGGAACGATATTTAGTTTTAATTATGTTCATTGTGGAGAAAGCTGCCTCGCAGTTGTATGTGGAGCCAAACATGGTCAAGATGTATAGGGCTACTTTCCTCAGACCCGGGAAAGCAGTCTCAGGGACCATTTGGAACCAGAAAGTGGAAGGGTCAGTTCTTACAAACTGCTCTTTCAGGGCCACATCTGCTTGGAGATCAACCAATTGCATCTGGAGAGACCCAGCATTTACCCATTTAAAGTGCTGTGTGACTTCCTTTGAGAACCCCCTGACATCTGTGATCAGAAATGGGTTCTGAATGAACATGGTGAGCTGCTCTCCAAAGCTGAAGCTGTCAAAACGGTTGCTGAAGTTTACAATCAGCTTATCAATAAAATCAACAAAAGAAGACATCTCTCTGTCCCTGAACCTGTTCCTGCACTGCTGGGAAGTGTACACAGTCTCCCTGCAGGTCTTCCTTGAACACTTCAAGTTTCCTCTGAAAGGAGCGAACAGCTGTCATCAGTTCACAAATTGAATTGTCCTTGCCCTGTAGCCTCAAATTCAGTTCATTCAGATGTGACGTGATGTCAACCAAAAAGGCCACATTATCCATCCATTTCTCATTTTCTAAAAGAGAGAAAACTGTGTTGCCTTCTGACTGCTTAGCTCTGCCAAAAAAGATGCTAATTCCCTCCTGATGGACCAAAAGCGCTCTAGCACCCTGCCTTTGCTGAGCCATCTCACATTGTTGTGCAGCAAAAGATCATCAGCATTGGCATCAACTTCTCTGAGGAATTCCCTAAGCATGCGATGCTGGTAGGAAGAGGATGCCCTGAGAAAATTTATCATTTTCATCATTGTATTCATCACCTCAGCATGCTCATCTGACAGGGAGGCACAGAGGACAGATTGATGAATGATGCAATGGTAAGATAAAAGCTCAGGATTGTCCCCTTTCAGTCTTGCTACAGCTCCTTTTTCTTTCCCTATCATAGAAGGGGCTCCATCTGTGGTTATTGAAACCACTTGTTTTGGCTCTATTCCTCTTTTTGTTAACATCTCCTTAATGGCCAGGTAGATATCCTCTCCTCTTGTACTGGTCTGAAGGGGAGTGACACCTAACATGTCTTCACAGAATGTTTTCTGGGCTGTGTTGAAAAACCTGGCAAACACTAACAGCTGAGCATTGTCACATATGTCAGTGGACTCATCCACAGCTAAGCCTACACATGGTGCCTTATGCATGGCTTCATCTAGCTGGGTTAGCACATCCTGAGTTAATATTTCACTTTTCTTTGTGGCAGATGATGCTGACATGGGAATTTGCTTTATTTTATCACAAAGCTCATTTTTTTGTTTTCCCTCAAGTAGTGTTTCAGCTACTGCACTCATGCATTCTTTGACAACCCCTCCATCTGTAAATGGCTTTTTGTGTTTACCCAAAATCCAAGAAACTCTGAGGGAACACTCAAGAGCACGTTGTTGGGCAGTGAATGTGTTGCTCAGGATCCTGGTGGACTGGTCATATTGGGCTCTGAGACTACTTACTTTCTGTGATCTC